CTGAACTCTGGGCCTGGGTGCTGTCCCTCAGCTCTTCAGTTCAAGGCTAGCACTCTACCACTTGAGCCACAGTACCACTTCTGGCTTTTTTCTTTTTGCGTATGTGGTGCTGAGGAGTTGAACCCAGGACCTCATGCATGCAAGGCCAGTGCTCTACCACTGAGCCACCTTCCCAGCCCCAACAGTCCTATTTTTGTTTTACTCTGTTCTCCACATTTTTTTGTTGTGGGTTATGATTTTCTAGATGTATCTAAGAAATCTTTGTCTAGCCAGTCACAGATATTAAGTAAATTCCGTTTAGAATGTTGATTTTCAGTTTAATAATATTAACATAGATTTTTTTTGTTATACTTCTAAACAATTTGGAAGTTAAAAATACTTGTCTAGGTTCTATTATGAAAGTGAACATTAGTCTCTCTTCCTTTAATTTATTAATTACTATTTTTCTCATTTTTTCTTCATTTTAGTACCAGCTCATCAAAAAAAGAGGGAAAATACACTGTTTGATATTCACAGATCTCCAGCAAGAAGAAGCCATATCAGGTAAGTTAGATTGTCTCTCTCCTTTCTTTCTCCTCCCCTCCCCTCCCCTCTTCTCCTCTCCACTCCCTTCTCTTCTCTCTCCTCCTTTCCTCCCTTCACTTCCCCCCTTCCCCTTCCTCCCTTCCTCCCTTCCTCTCTTCCTCTCTTCTTCCCTTCCTCCAATCTCTCATCCATTTGTTTGTCAGTGTCTCATTGTATAGCCTAGGCTAATGTCAAATGCATGATTCTAACTAGGCTAGGATGTTGATTTTGTCAAAACCTTATTTTTCATCAATTGAGATGATCATGTGATTTTTTTTTTTGGGGTCGGTTGTAGGGCCTGAACTCTGGGCCTGGGCGCTGTCCATCAGCTCTTCAGCTCAAGGCTAGCACGCTACCACTTGAGCCACAGCACCACTTCCAGCTTTTTTCTGCTTATGTGGTACTGGGGAATCGAATCCAGGGCCTTATGCATACAAGGCAAATATTCTACCATAAGCCAACTTCCCAGCTTGAGAATTTTTTTTATCTATTTATCAGAGATAGGTCTATGATTTGTTTGTTATGTCCTTGTCTGTTTTGGGTCAAGTATAATAATGAATTCATAGAATGAGTTTGGGAGCTTTTTTTACATTTTTTCTGGTGGAAAAATTTTAATCTCGGTGTTCTTTAAAGGTCTTACAGTATTTAGTACTTCAGTCTCATTACTTGTTAAACATCTGTGTAAATGGCTTCCATTTTGGTTGGTAAACTGGATGTAGAAATGTATTCACTTCTAGATTTTCTAGTTTATCTGAATATAATTTTTCAAAGTATTCCCTTATGATCCTCTGGATGTCATTTGGTTTCATTCCCTGTTTTGTTTCCAATTTTTTTTGTCAGTTGTGAGGCTTGAACTCAAAACCTGGGTGCTATTCCTGAGTTCTTTATCTTAATTAAGGCCTAGTATTCTACCACTTTGATCTACAGTGCCACTTCTGGTTTTCTTTTTTTTTTTGGGTCCAGTCGTGGGGCCTGAACTCTGGGCGTGGGTGCTGTCCCTCAGCTCTTCAGCTCAAGGCTAGCGCTCTACCACTTGAGCCACAGCGCCACTTCCGGCTGTTTTCTTTTTGCTTATATGGTGCTGAGGAATGGAACCCAGGGCCTCAGGCATGCAAGGCAAACGCTCTACCACTGAGCCACCTTCCCAGCCCCCACTTCTGGTTTTCTGGTGGTTAATTGGAGATAAGACTCTCATAGACCCTTCCTGCCTGGGCTGGCTTTGAATTGTGATCCTCAGATCTCAGCCTCCTAAGTAGCTAGGATTACAGGGGTGAACCAGTGGTGCCAGCTTTTTGCTTTTGTCTCTGATTTTATTAATATGGATCTCATTCCTTTTCCTTTTAGTCAGGTTAACTAGGACATTGTTGACCTTACTTATTTCTTCAGAGGATCGGCTTTTTGTTTCTTTGATTCTTTTAGTAATTTTACAAGTCTCAATTTTGTTTATTTTTGCCCTAATTAATTCCTTCCCCCCTCTCAGATCTTTTTTTTAGGCTTGTGATCTACCACTTAAACCTGCACTTTTAAAAATTTGTTTTCTTTGTTTTTGGTAAAAGGGCATGAACTCAGGGCCTGACCACTGTCCCAAAGCTATTTTTGCTCAAACCTATTGCTCTACTACTTTGATCCACAGCTCTACTTCTAGTTTTCTTGGTGGTTAATTGGAGATAAGAATCTCATGGACTTTCCTGCTGGAGCTGGCTTTGAACCCATGATCCTCAACTCAGTCTCCTGAGTAGCTAGGATTATAGATGTGAGCCACTGGTACCTGGTGCTTTTTAAATTTTCTGATTATTTGGAGATAGAATCTATTAAACTATTCTGCCTGAGCTGGCCTTGGAAGTAGATTTCAGCCTACTTAGTAATTAGAATTACAGTGTGAGCCACTGGTGCCTGCTCACCCTAAGTTTTTTGTGTTTTGTTTTATTTGAGCCACAGCTCCACTTCAGCTTTTTTTTTTTTTTTTTGCTGTCTCTGAGCCTCTTTGTGCTCAAGGCTAGCACTCTACCACTTGAGCTACAATACCACTTCCAGCTTTTTCTCAGTAGTTTATTGGAGATAAGAGTTTCACAGACTTTCCTGCCTGGGCTGGCTTTGAATTTCGATCCTCAGATCTCAGCCTCCTGAGTAGTTAGGATTATAGGCATGAGCTACCAGTGCCAGCCATTTCAGCTTTTTGGTGGCTAATTGGGAAAAACAATCTAATGGACTTTCCTGTCTAATCTGACTTTGATCTCAACATTCTAAGTAAAATTGGCACCTGGTGATTCTTATTATTTCGTCATTTCTGCTAATTTTGGGTTTGACCTGTTCTGGTTTTTCTAGGAGATACAGGTGCATGATTAGTAGGTTATTTGTGATCTCTCTCTCTCTTCTTTTTTTTTTTAAATGTAGGTGCTCATACCTATAAACTTCTTTCAGCACTACCCCAAAGGTTCTAGTTGTATTTTCATTTTCATTAAATTCTCAGAACCTTGTTTTTCCACTTATTTTTTCAGTGACCTAATGGTCATTTAAGGAAGTATTGTTCAGTGTCCATGTGTTTGAATATTTTCTGTAGTCTTCTAGTTTTATTCCTATGGTCTGATAGAGTATAAGTGATCATTTTAATTTGCCAAGTCTTGCTTTACATTTTAAAATATGATCTATTTTTGAGAAAGTTCTATGGGCTGCCGAGAAGAATGTGTATGGTGCAGCTGCCAGATGAAATATTTTGTAGATACTGGTTAAGTCCATTTGATCTGTGGTGTCCAGTTTCTGAGGTTTTCTTATTGTTTTGTTTGGATGAATTACTCAGGCCCTTGCACTCTCTCTTGGCTTTTTCACTCAAGGCTGGCTCCTGCCACTTGAGTCACACTTCTACTTTTGACTTTTTGCTGCTTAATTTTAGGTAAGAGCCTTTTAGACTTTTCTTCATGGACTAGGTTAGAACCACAATTCTCAGATCTCAGACTCCTGAGTAGCTAGGATTACAGACGTGAGCCACTGGCACCCAGCTCTGGATGAGTTGTTCTATTGGTGACAGTGAAGACATTGAAGTCTCCCACCATTACTGTGCTGGAGTCTCTCCATGCTTGTAAGCCCAGAACTTGTTGTACCAACATGTGGTATGTATATATTAATGATGGTTATTTCCACTTGCTGGGTTTTCCCACTTGTTAATGTGAATTGGCCTTCTTTTCTTCTGTGTCATTTTAGTTTAAAATCTGTTTTGCCAGATATATGTGAGTTACTCCTACTTCTGTCCCTTAAGGCTAGCACTCTACCACTTGAGCCACAGCGCCACTTCTGGCTTTTTCTGCTTATGTGGTGCTGAGGAATCGAACCCAGGGCTTCATGCATGCAAGGCAAGCACTCTACCACTGAGCCACCTTCCTAGCCCCAAACTTTTTTAAATTCAAAAATATTGTATGTATTTAATCAAATTCATATGCAGTAGAAATTTTAAGTGGGAGGTTTTGTTTAGTTTTATAGATTATTTAGTTTATAAATTTGGAGACTGATTTTCATTGTTTGGAAAAGAGAATTAAAAAAGTGGCAAGCAAGCTGGGCACTGGTGGTTCACACCTGTAATCCTAGTTAGTAAGGAGGCTAAGATCTGAGTATCGTGGTTCAAAAGCTAGCCAGGGCAGGAAAGTCTGTGAGGTTCTTATCTCACAGTGGTGCAGTGGTTCAAGTGGTAGATGGCTTGCCTTGAGCTGAAGAGCTCAGGGACAGTGCCTAGGCCCCCCACCCCCCAAAAAAATGTGGCAAGGTTTCTTTCTATTATTCTGTTATTTAAGCAATGATATATTTTCTAAAATTGAATAAATTTAATGAGTTGCTTTGTATTACTACCCTATTTGAAAAATTGTGGCTATTTTTATTTTATTCTTATTTTTATTTTTATTATTTTTATTTTATTCTTTCTCCTCAAAACTTACTTTTGGTCTTTGTTAGATGTAAACTACATGAAGGCAGAGGTACTAAATATTTGCTGAGAGAGTTAATGAATGGATTTTGTCTTGAGGTAGATATTGTAGGTATGATACTTAGAATGTATTAAAAAAAAAACTAATTTCAAAGCTGGGCGCCGGTGGCTCATGCCTGTATTCCTAGCTAGTCAGGAGGCTGAGATCTGAGGATCGCGGTTCAAAACCAGCCTGGGCAGGAAACTCCGTGAGACTTATCTCCAATAAATCACCAGAAAAACCGGAAGTGGCGCTGTAGCTCAAGTGGTAGAGCGCTCGCCTTGAGCTGGAGAGCTGAGGGACAGCGCTCAGGCCCAGAGTTGAAGCCCCACACCACCACCACCACCACCAAACTAAAAACAACAACAAAAAAACTAATTTCAAGTTTTGTTTGTAGCTTTGTAATGGAAGAAGATGCCTGGGATTGAAATTCAAAACCACCACTTTACCCCTTGCTTCCTCCCGCTCAAAAAAAAAAATTTTGAAAAAATGATTTACTATTGCAATGGCTTTAAGATTTTTGCTGTCTTCCAATAGGAGGAAGAAACATGCCATTCATAGCAGTGATACCACTTCTTCAGATGAAGAACGCTTTGAAAGAAGAAAATCTAAGAGCATGGCAAGAGCAAGGAACAGGTTAGTGAAATTTTTTTAGTAATATTTCTGTTGTAGAAAAAGGAAGGACAATTTTTTTTGTTGTTGTTGTTTAGTCGTGGGGTTTGAACTCTGGGCTTGGGCGCTGTCCCTGTGCTCTTCAGCTCAAGGCGAGTGCTCTGCTGCTTGAGCCACAGCACCACTTTCTGTTTTCTAGTGGTTTATTGGAGATTAGAGTCTCATTGACTTTCCTGCCTGGGCTGGCTTTGAACCTCGATCCTCAAACCTCAGCCTCTTGAGTAGCTAGGATTACAGGTGTGAGCCACTGGCACCTGGCTCTTTTTTTTTTTTTTTTAACGTGTTATCTATACTTGAATTTTGCCAATAGTGATAATCACCGTAATTTTTTGCCTGACTAATATACTGATTTAATTCCTACTTTTAAATCTTGCATTAGAACTCTTTGCTCTAATTACTCAGTCTGTGAGTAATCATTCACTTGTTCATTCATCCATCTATCCATTCATATAGCCTATTTCTGTTGCACAGGCTAGCATTAAATTCCTGAGTTCAAGTATCCTTCAGCCTCAGCCTCCTGAATAGTTGGACTTTAGAAACACTCTGTTCTATTTAACTAAAATCTAAATTTAAATGAAAGGAATCAAAACTTTTTTAATCTGTTATATTCTGATAGTCTACTTTTTAGGTTCTTTTATTTATTATTATTATTATTTTTATTTTTTGTTGGTCATGGAGCCTGAACTCAGGGCCTGGGCACTGTCCCTCACCTCTTCAGCTCAAAGCTAGCACTCTACCACTAGAGCCATAGCACTACTTCTGGCTTTTTCTGCTTATGTGGTACTGAGGAATCAAACCCAGGCAAGCACTCTACCACTGAGCCACCTTCCCACCCCTTTTTGTTTATTTTTTTATGGTATTGGGAATTAAACCTAGGGCTTTTCCCATGCTAGACAAGTGCTCTACCACTGAGGTGCATCTCCAGCCTCAGTAATATACTTTGAGAATATATTTTTAAGGTACATTAAGATTCAGAAATATCAGTGAAGTTATAATCATCATAGAAGCTATGCTTTTTTGAGGTGGTTTATGGTATATTTTGGTGTTTACTTGTTTTAACCCATATCTGGGTACTGTTAGGAAGTTCCAGAGGCTAGAAAGTTTATAAAGAAAAGAAGTTTTATTTAACTCACAATTTGGAGGCTAGAAGTCCAAACTGAATGTTGCTGTTTCTGGCAAGGGCCTTCCTGACTGCATTACATCATGAAAAATATCACCATGATGGGGAGGCACATGAACTGGAAGCCAGAGATTGAGACCATGTGTTTAACATGGGCTTAATGTGAAGTGTTTCTTTTCAGAGTATGCTCCAGTGACCACAGGGTCCCAGGCGAGGTCCCATTTCTTTTTTTTTTTTTTTAATTTTATTTTATTTTATTTGTGAACATACTGTACAGAGGGGTTACAATTGTGAGGTCCCATTTCTTAAAGATCAGCCTACTTACATTATCAAACTGAGTATCAAGTTCCCAACATAGACACTCATATTATTCAAAATTGGAGTAAATTGAGCTGTTTGGGAAAATAGATTGATAATGTTGTTTGCTTTATCTAACAACTTCGTTTTAGGTCAATTAAAAAGAATTGGGCTGGGAATGTGGCTTAGTGGTAGCATGCTTGCCTAGCATGCATGAAGCCCCTGGGTTCGATTCTTCAGTACCACATAAACAGAAAAAGCCAGAAGTGGTGTTGTGGCTCAAGTGGTAGAGCACTAGCCTTGAGCACAGAGATGCTCAGGGACAGAGCCCATGCCCCTGAGTTCAAGGACCAGGACCAGCAATAAACAAACAAACCAAAAGCTTACAGGATTGAATCAGAAAGAATAGTAGGGAGAATGAGGAGAATCTATTCATTTTCCACATTGTTTCATGAAATAGGACACTTAAAAGTTTAATAATGAAAAATTACCATGAAAACAATGAGAAAAACAGTACATGTTTACAAATAGAACACACCAAAACAATTTTCTTGACTAATATTAGAAGGCTAATAAATACCAATAAATATTTATATTATTTTTCTTTGAGAAAGCCTTATCTGTAACCACTTTATACATGATATAAGCAATATCTATGATACAGTACAAAAATTTAGGAAAAGTTTCTGGGTTAAGAGAAAATGTAGAGTTTTTGACATTAAAACATAAGACTTTCAAAGCTATTATTGTGTTTTTATAAATTTCAGATGTTTGCCTATGAACTTCAGAGCAGAAGACTTAACGAGTGGTATTCTCCGAGAACGTGTGAAAGTGGGTGCAAGCTTGGCTGATGTTGATCCAATGAACATTGATAAATCAGTAAGTTTTGTAAAAAGTTTTTTAAGAGAAATTTTTTGTTTGTTTGTTTGTTTTTTCTGATTCTGGAGCTGGAACTCAGGGTCTGCATGTTGTCCCTGAACTTTACCACTTGAGCCACAGCTAGCTTTTTGGTGAGAAATTGGAGATAAGAGTCTCACAAACTTTCCTGACCAGGATGGATTTGAACCTCAGTCCCCAGATGTCAGTCTCCTGAGATTACAGCTGTGAACTACGAGTGCCTGGCATGTTCTTTTTTAAGTTTTTTTTCTTCTTTCTTTTCTTTCCTTCCTTCTTTCTTTCTTTTCTTTCCTTCCTTCTTTCTTTCTTTTCTTTCCTTCCTTCCCTCTTTCTTTCTTTCTTTCTCTTTCCTTCTTTCTTTTCTTTCCTTCTTTCTTTCTTTCTCTCTTCCTTCCTTCCTTCCTTTCTTTCTCTCTCTTTCTTTCTTTTTCTCTCTCTCTCTCTTTCTTTCTTTCCTTCTTTCTTTCTTTCCTTCCTTCCTTCCTTCTTTCTTTCTTTCTTAATTTCTTTCTTTCTTTCTTAATTTTTTTCTTTCTTTCTTTCTTGTCCAGTTGTGGGGCCTGAACTCTGGGCCTGGGCGCTGTCCCTCAGCTCTTCAGCTCAAGGCTAGCGCTCTACCACTTGAGTCACAGCACCACTTCTAGCTTTTTTTCTTTTTGCTTATATGGTGCTGAGGAATTGAACCCAGGGCCTCAGGCATGCAAGGCAAGTGCTCTATCACTTAGCCACCTTCCCAGCACTTTTTTTCTTGTTTCTAAAGCACTACATGAGTAAGCACTCTAGATATGACTGGTATTGTTGTTTTCATGTATATATTTTGGATGTTATGGTTATATTTGGATATTATGATGTATAGGGTTTTCATTTTATTCATTCCATTCACTGGAACATAGAACAGATAATGAATCAATGGAAAGCAATAGGCTATTGCTGAAGCTTTTTGGTTTCATAATCAGATTTGCATTTTGTGTGATTAACTCTGACTATAATGTTGTTAATGGATTTAAGGGAAGCAAAGAAACATGTCAGAATTTAGTGAAGTAATGTTTTCACAGAATAACAGAAACAAATTGAGGCTATTGTATAGGTTACTAGATTAAGAAAATAGGTCAGGGCTGGGAAGGTGGCTCAGTGGTAGAGAGCTTGCCTTGCATGGATGAGGTCCTGGGTTCAATTCCTCAGCACCACATAAGCAAAAAAGAAAAAAAAACTGGAAGTGGCGCTGTGGCTGAAGTGGTAGAGTGCTAGCCTTGGGCTAAAGAGCTGAAGGACAGCGTCCAGGCCCAGAGTTCAGGCCCCATGACCGGACAAAAAAAAAAAAAAGAGAGAGAATAGGTCAATAATGGGTAGACTGGATAGAAAATGTAAGGCTCCATTATCTGACGTAGAGTACAAACAGAAGGAATAAAGGAGAAGACGATTTAAGCCTGGCCCTGGTGGCTTATGCCTATAATCCTAGCTACTCAGGAGGCTGAGATCTGAGGATCACAGTTCAAAGGCTGCCCAGCCAGGAAAGTCTTTGAGAGCCTTATCTCCAATAAACCACCAGAAAACTGGAAGTGGTGCTGTGGCTCAAGTGGTAGATCACTAACCTTGAGCTGTAGAGCTGAGGGACAGCACTTAGGCACAGAGTTCAAGTCCCAGGACTGACAAAAAAAATGAAAAAAGGAGAAGATGGTTTGATTAATTGTAGACATATATAGGAATCTGTCACATACTGTAAGTAGAAGTACCTTGTTGGACTGGTGGTCGGTTGCTTATGCCTGTAATCCTAGCTACTCAGGAGACTGAGATCTGAGGATTGTGGTTCAAAGCCAGCCTGGGCAGAAAAGTCCCTATGAGGCTCCAATTAACCTTAAAAACTGGAGGTGACATTGTGGTTTAAGTGGTAGAACTCTAGCCTTGAGAACAAAGAGGCTCAGGGACAGCTCCCAGGCCCTAAGTTCAAGCCATATAACCATCAAAAAAGAAAATGGAAGTGACTTTTTGGCAGTTATTTGGGTTTGGCATTAAGGTGGAAGTATCTGGGCTAGAAATTTACATATGTGTCATCAATAAAAAGATTGTCAAAGCTGCTTTGAAGAATGATGATTGTATCCTGGGCATGTGGCATGAAAATAGAACATTCAGAGGACAGTGTAGATATTTCTCATTGTTAATAGTTTGGGGCTACAATTTGGAGAAAGATTATTACATAAAAAAGTATATATATATTTTTTCCTCATAGGTATTACAAGGAGTTATTAATTAGACTTTTTTTTTTTGTTGGTCATGGGACTTGAACGCTGGGCTTGGGCGCTGTCCCTCAGCTCTTAAGGTCAAGGCTAGTGTCCTACCACTTGAGCCACAGCGCCACTTCAGGTTTTCTGGTGGTTTATTTATTTATCTTTGCTACCCTGGCTGGCTTTGAACTTCGATCCTCAGGTCTCAGCCTCCTGAGTAGCTAGGATTACAGGCATGAGCCACTGGTGCCTGGCTTAGATTTTTTTTTTTTTGCTAGTCTTGGGGCTTGAACTCAGGGCTTGGGACTGTCCCTGAGTTTTTTGCTCAAGGCTAGCACTCTACCCACTAAGCCACATTCCCAGTCCTAATTAGACTTAATTATATATTTGAAAATGAAATTTTAACTGCAGTCTAAAGTCATAGAGTCCAATATTTTATTGACAATCAATAAAAATTCAGAGCATTAAGTATTTCCAGCCGGGTGCTGGTCGCTCACGCCTGTAATCCTACTACTCAGAAGGCTGAGATCTGAGGATCGTGGTTCAAAGCCAGCCTGGGTAGGAAAGTCTGTGAGACTCTTATCTCCAATAAACCACCAGAAAACCAGAAGTGGCGCTCTGGCTCAAGTGGTAGAGTGCTTGCTTTGAGCTGAAGAGCTCAGGGACAGTGCTCAGGCCCAGAGTCCAAACCCCATGACTGAGCCAAAAAAAAAAAAATCCAGAATTCTTAGAAGATAGTACATTTTCTGAATATCATAGCTTAAGATCTTTGTTTTTTTTTAATTTAATTTTATTTGTGAACATACTGTACAGAGGGGTTATAATTACATGGGCAGGATAATGCGTACATTTCTTACCAAGCATTGCAGCCTCCTCCTTTGTTTACCCTTCACATCCCTTCCCAGCCACCTCCCTCCCCAAGATCTTTGTTTATTTGGCTAACCAATATCCTTCTCTGTTAAGTCTGTTTATTTTAGATGTCTCTTGACAGCCAATCAGAGTAACAAATTTCCTTAAAATTTGATAACATAAAGCTGGGCACCAGTGACTCATGCCTGTATCCTAGCTACTAGGAGACTGAAGTCTGAAGATAGTGGTTCAAAACCAGCCTGGGCAGAAAAGTCTGTGAGCAGTTAAGCACCAAAAAAAGCCACAAGTGGAGCTGTGGCTCAAGGCTACCCTGGAACACAAAAGCTCAGCAAAACAGCATATAGACCCTGATTTTTAAGCCCCAGAATCAGCACACACACCAAAATTTGATAACATAAGAAAATTAAGCTCCTCTTAAAATTAACCTCTGTTATTTCTAGTTTAGATTTTTCCGTGATAATATATTTATCGTGGACATTTTGAGTATTGTAACAGAAAGAAGTAGAGAAAGCCGGGTGCCAGTGGCTCATGCCTGTAATCCTAGATACTCAGGAGGCTGAGATCTGAGGATCATGGTTCAAAGCCAGCCTAGGCAAGAATGTCCTTGAGACTCTTATCTTCAATAAACCACCAGAAAACCGGAAGTAGCACTGTGGCTCCTAGTGGTAGAGTGCTTGCCTTGAGCTGAAGAGTTGAGGGACAGCACACAGGCTGAATTCAAGCCCCACTACTGGCCCCCCCCCCAAAAAAAAAAAGAATGAATGGTAGCTTATATCTAACCCAATATTAGCTTACATTTTTCTGTTGACTTTATTTTTGTACAATTATTTTTATATATAGTTGTTAAAAAACTTCTGAAGCCATATATTTCTGAATTGTTAAACTCACAAATAATTAAATTCTCAAAGCATGAAATTATTTTATATGCAAGGTTTTTCTTTCTTTTCAAGGTGCGGTTTGATAGCATAGGTGGATTGAGCCATCATATTCATGCTCTAAAGGAGATGGTGGTATTCCCGCTTTTATATCCAGAAATTTTTGAAAAATTTAAAATTCAGCCTCCAAGGTATGTTATAACTTAAATCTTTGTTATTGTACTATGTTAACTTGTCAAATTTCATTTAATTAGTAGTGATTATTGTTTTACTAACAATAAGAATGAAATTATATTAGGATTTATTTCTGTCTTCTTAGGCATTTTTATTTTTTGAACTTCATAGTTAAGCACATGATGAAATCTTTTTCTTTTTTGTAGTGCTAAGATTAAACCTAAGGCCTTGTATGTGCTAGATAAGTGGTCTTTTATTGAGGTACATCTGCAGCCCTAAAATCGTTCATGCAGGCCCTGAATGTACATCTGGATTCCTCAAATATAGTGATCCCTCAATTATCGCAGGAATTAAGTTCCAGAGATCTCTGCAATAAGTGGAAATCTGCAGCATTAGTCATCCCTCCCTATATCACAGCTCTCTTATTGTTATTTTGCAATATTAAAAAAAAATACAGTGAAGCTGCAATAAATGAACTGTGTTATAGGGAGGGATGACTGTAGATTTTCCTGAATTTGATTTCTTAATAGCATTGAGTTTGATATTATGTACTGGTTAGTTTTGAAAGCATAAATTGATTAGAGTATTTCTTTGGCTTGATGTATTATTTCTGAAGTAGAAGAAATCTTGATAAGTTTTTTTTTTTTTTTAATTGGTTGTGGGGCTTGAACTCCTGGCCTGGACACTGCTCCTCAGCTCTTCAGCTCAAGGCCAGTGCTCTACCACAGCCCCACTTCCAGTTTTCTGTTGTTCAGTTGGAGATAAGAGTCTTATGGACTTTCCTGCCGGGGATGGCTTTGAACTGTGATCCTCAGATTTCAGCCTCCTGAGTAGCTAGGATTATAGGCATGAGCCACCAGCTCCCATCTTGACAAATTACTTTTATGAACAGATTATATTTGATCATGAGGTGGTTATTTTAGAAAATGCTGAGAAATTGTGAAAGGAGATTGGGCATAATAAAAGATATACATATTAGACTGTTGTATTTAAAATGATGGATACCTTCATTGAAAAAGTTTTTTTTACTCAGGTAAAATTCTGACTTATTTTCCATATTTTTGTTGTTGTTGTTGTTGTTTGTGGGGCTTGAACTCTGGGCCTGGGTGCTGTCTCTCAGCTCTTCAGCTCAAAGTGATTCCTCTACCACTTGAGCCACAGCACCACTTCTGGTTTTCTGGTGGTGAATTGGAGATAAGAGTCTCATAGACTTTCCTACCCAGGCTCGCTTTGAATGGTGATCCTCAGATCTCAGCCTCCTGAGTAGCTGGGATTACAGGTATGAACCACCAGCGCCCAGCTTTCCATGTGTTTTAAAGGATGTGGAAAATAATTTTTATCTGATGGATCAAATATTGGCCTATAATTTTTTTATTTTTTGCCAGTTCTGGAGCTTGAACTCAGGGTCTAGGCACTGTCCCTGAGCTGCTTCTGCTCAAGGCTAGCCCTCTACAGCACCACTTGAGCTATAGCACCACTTCCGGCTTTTTCTGTTTATGTCGTACTGAGGGATTGAATATAGGGCTTCATGCACGCTAGGCAAGCACTCTATCATTAAGGCACATTCCCAGCCCCTGACTTAAAAAAATCCAAATAACATCTCATCTTTTGTATGCTTTCACATTAATTAAAAAAAATCATTATCAGTTCTTTTTCAAAACTATCAAAGAAGTGTAGCATTGGGAGAAACTTAAAACTATGAGTTATCCTCTTCAATTCCACTTAGCTAGGTACAGTGACACATGCCTATCTATAATTCTAGTACTTAGGAGGCTAAGCAGGGAGGATGGCAAGGTTGCTTTTTTTTTGGTGTGTTGGTCATAGGGCTTGAAAGCTGGGCCTGAACGCTGTCCCTCAGTTCTTCAGCTCAAAGCAAGTCCTCTACCACTTGAGCCACAGTGCCACTTCTATTTTCTGGTGGTTTATTGGAGATAAGAGTTTCACAGGTTTTCCTGCCTGGGCTGGCTTTGAACTGTGATTCTCAGATCTCAGCCTCCTGAGTAGCTAGGATTACAGGCGTGAGCCACTGGTGCCTGGCGAGGATGGCAAGTTTAAGGCCAGCCTTGGTTACATAGGAGACACTCTCTTAATTTGTTTTTCCCTGGGCTAGACTAGGACTCTGATCCTTCTACTGATGATTCCTATGTAGATAGGGTTACAGGTTTGCACCTTGTTTGTTGAGATTGGCCTCACATACTTTTTGCCTAGGCTGGACTCAGTATCTTCACCCTACAGGTAGCTGGTCCTAGGCTTGGGTGCTTCCCTGAGCTTTTGTGTACTCTACCATTTGAGCTACAGCTCCACTTCTTGCTTTTTTTTTTTTTTTTTTTGGGTCCATGACGGGGCTTGAACTCTGGGCCTGAGTCCTCTCCCTGCATGCTTCACCTCAAGACTAGTGCTCTTCCACTTGAGCCATAGCACCATTTCTGATTTTCTTTCTGGTGGTTTAACTGGAGATAAGAGTCTCACAGATGTTCCTGCCTGGGCTAGCTTTGAACCGTGATCCTCAGATCTTAGCCTCCTGAGTAGCTAGGACTACAGGTATGAACCACAGGTGCCCGGTTCACTTCTTGTTTTTTTGGTGACAAATTTGGAGATTCTCAAATACTTTCCAGCCTGGACTGGCTTTGAACTATGATACTCAGTTCTCTGACACCTAAGTAGCTAGGATTACTGGCTCCTGGCCCATGTTTAGTACAAATTTTAACTTCTACACCATCAAGAAAGCTTGTTTTTGTCTTTGTTTTTTGTATGATAGATACTGTGGGTACTTACCCCCTTAATCATGCCCACACCTTTCTGGCTTGTTGTTTTGAGGACACAGAAAAGTAAAAAATTAGTTTATATACTGTAAAACAGTGTAGTGGTCATAATTGGTATCATTGCTAATAATTACACTGTATATTAATCCAAAATTATATGCAAGGAGAGATGTACTTTAATATTGTTTATAAATGGTGATAATTTTAATTTTCTTTCTTTTTTTATTTCTCTAGAGGCTGTTTGTTTTATGGCCCTCCTGGCACAGGAAAAACTTTGGTTGCCAGAGCATTAGCTAATGAATGCAGTCAAGGAGATAAAAAGGTGGCTTTCTTTATGCGTAAAGGAGCAGATTGTTTGAGCAAGTGGGTTGGTGAGTCTGAAAGGCAACTTAGGCTTCTTTTTGATCAGGTAAGCAAAATCAGCTAATCCAAGGATTAGAATATTTTAGAATATTTATTACATTGCATGTAAAAATACAGTTATGAGGAGGTATTTGTTCTAATTAGTATGTGATATTTAGGATAACTCCAAAATATGTCTTAAAGGTATTCCTTGATATCTTTGGAGGTTGGTTCTACCACCCCTGAGAACACAAAATCTGAAGGTGTTAGAGTCCCGTATATAAAGATAGTGTAGTATTTGCCTATCCTCCTGTATGCTTTGCTTTAAATCTTTCCTAGATGATTTATAATACCTAATACGTAGAAAATGTGATGTAAATAGTTGTTACATTGTATTGCTGAGGGATAATGACACTAAAATTCTCTACATGTTCAGTTGCATTTTCTTTTTTAACATTGGTAATCTGCAGGTGACTGAATCCGTTTATTTGAAACATGTGGATGTGGAAGACTGATTGCATTTAATGACAATTTGTCTAATACTGCCAAATGTTTATGATGATTCATGAAACATTTATTGATGTACCTATTACATGTGAAGGTATTAGGTACTTTTGAGAAGAGACTATAATTGTTAAATTTTAATACAATTGAGGCAATAGTAAGGCCTAAAATGTTAAGTATTTGTGGAAAGAACCCCCCAAAAACAGTGTATTGTTTATTTTCATGATGTTGTATATTAGTCAGTTTTCTGTTACTCTAACTAAATAATTGAGATAGTTAACTTCTAAAGAGAATAAGTTTATTTTGGCTCACCATTTTGTGTGTGTATATGTGCTCACACATGTGCTTGTGTGCTGGTATAAGAGCTAGAACTCAGGGCCTGTATTCTCACTCCACTTTCTTGCTCATATCTGGTGTTCTATCACTTGAGCAATACCTCCAGTCTGGCTCACAGTTTGTTATTTTTGTTGTTTGTGGGACTTCAATTCTGGGCCTGGGTGCTGTCCTTGAGGTCTTTAGCTCAAGGCTAGTACTCTACCACTTTGAGCCACAGTGCCATTTCTGGTTTTCTGACAGCTAATTGGAGATAAGAGTCATAGATTTCCTGCCTGGGCTGGCTTTGAACTGCTCTTCTCAGGTCTCAGCCTCCTAAGTAGCTAGGATTACAGGCATGAGCCACCAGGGCTTGGCTATGGCTCACCATTTTCTAGGTTCACGTCTATGACTGAGTGACCTCTTTTTTGGGGGGCTTAAGACTGCCCATGGCAGGAACACATGGTACACTGAAATTACTTATCAGCCAAGAAGCAAAAATGAAAGAGGAAGAGGCAAAGGTCACCCAGGCCTTGAAGAGCATGCCCCTAATGACTTGAAGGCTTCCCACTAGTGCTCTTCTAAAGAATCTACTACCTCCTAATTAAAGTGCCTCTCACAGGCTGGGATTGTGGTTTAATGGTAGAGTGCTTGCCTAGCATGCATGAAACCCTGAGCTGGATTCCTCAGTGCCACATAAACAGAGAAAGCTGGAAGTGGCTCTGTGGTGGAGTGCTAGCCTTGAGTAAAAGATCTCAGGGACAATGCCCAGGCCCTGAGTTCAAGCGCCAGGACTGGCAAGAATTAAAAAAAAAAAAAAGTGCCTCTCAGAGTTCCAATATTTTGTAAGTAGGCCTTTGGAGAACACTATGAGAATCCTATGACGTTATAGATACATTGCTCATATGAAATCAGAAATAAATGTTGCTTATAAAGGACAGTGAGATGGGGCGGTAGTTGTGGAAGTGGGAGGGGAAAAACTACGGAGGAAGCAACAATGCTCAATAGGAAACGTACTCATTACCTTGCTCATGGAACGGTAATCCCTCTGCACAGTATTTTTCCAATAAAAAACGTATGGGGAAAAAAAAAGGACATTGAGATGAGAGACTTCTCTTTTTTTGTGGGGAGGGGTCGGTTGTGGGGCTTGATTTCAGGGCCTGGGCATTGTCCCTGAACCCTTTTGCTCAAGGTTAGGGTTCTACCACTTGAGCCACAGTGCCACTTCGGGTTTCTGGTGGTTAATTGTAGATAAGAGTCTCAACCGTCTGTCCTGCCCAGGCAGCTTCGGACTGGGATTCTCAGATCTCAGCCTCCTGAGTAGCTAGGATTACAGGCATGAGCCACCAGCACCTGGCAGAGAGAATATTGTGAAAACTGTCTTAAGTAATAAAGTTTTTATTTCTAAAGCTGAGCATGGTTGTATGCTAGTCCTAGCTACTTGTAGTACTGAGATAGGAGGATAACTAGAGTACCACAGTTCCAGAAACAGCCTGGGCAACAGGTTGTTCTCAAAACAGAAAAAATAATTTTTCTATACGTTATAAAAATGAGTACTGTAGTTAATATAAATGTGTTTGTTTGAATTTGTGATGGAAGCATATCATACTTGGCAGTTGAATTTATATTTGATTATATATAGGAAATAAGTATGAAATGGATAATGCTTTCTAGTATTTATTGAGCACCCATTACTGAGATGCAGTGTATGAAAGCCCTTTGTAAGTGGTGAAGCACATGAAATATTATTTAAAAACAGTGGTCTTGAAAATTGCTGTATTTGAAGTGGCACTGTAGCTCAAGGTGCTATCCTTGAGTGAACATTCTCAGGGATAGCACCCAGGCCCTGAATTCTAGCCCCTTTACTGACCAAAACTCCCCCCAAAACAACCAAAAAACTCAAAGAACAACAAAAAATCCCTGCTATATTCTAGATAATGAATTTAGAAGGAGGCATAGTAAGATTATTACCTTCACTCAATGTCTAGTGGCAAGTCAAACATAATTCAGTCTAAATATTTCAAAATAATAATTGAATAGTATAAATACAAAGTAACATTAATAGAAGAGAAAAGCTGGATGCTGGTGGCTTATGCCTATAATCCCTAGCTACTCAGGAGGCTGTCAGAGGATCTCAGTTCAAAACAAGCTCAAGCAGAAAAATAGAACAGACTTCATCTCAAATTAATTAGCAAAAAAGCTGGGCTAAAGCCATGGCTTAAGTGATACGGTGCCTCCTGTGAACAAGCATGCTGAGTAAAAGCCCCAGGCACTGAATTTAAGCCTTGGAACTGGCAAGAGAGAGCCAAAGTGGGACAGAGGGAGAGAGAAGAGAGAAGGGAGCGAAGGAAGGAGGGGGATAGGTTGAGAATGGGTTTGTGAATTTGGGAATGCTGGCATGTTGTCCATGGAGCTCATTAAAAAACTTGACATTTATATTTGTTAATCTAGATGCAAAGGATACAGTTATATCTTGGTTTCAGTTAAGACAAGGAAGGGCCTTATAATCATGCAGCAGCACTGCTGTTTCTTTCTTCCTCCTTCTTCTCCCCCTAATTCTGTTGTACAAAAAGGTTTCAGTTCCATGTCAGGTTATAAATACATTCTGATCAATGTCATCCCTTCCATCATTCTCCCCGTTCTTTCTCCTCCTATTCCTTCCCTCAAGTTAAGTAGTTCAGTTTTTTTTTTTTTTTTGTCTTTTCTTTTTTTGGTACTGGGGATCGAACCCAGGACGTTGCGCTTGCTAGGCAAGCGCTTTGCCACTGAGCTACATCCCAGCCCAAGTAGTTCAGTTTTAACATAATGTACATTGAATACAATGACTGCGTTTGTTCAGCCTCCCTCCATTCTTGTGCCTACCCCCTTGTTGCCTCCTTTCTGGTATTCATTTGTTACTTGGTTTATTAGTTGTTCAGAGGAATTACACTACTAGACTCCTCCCTAACTATACCATCCTTTAGTCAGTTTGTTTCTATGTATGCATTCTTGTAGCTTTTTTTTAATCTACATTTTCTTTGTTTCATAGCTTTCTTGGTGAGCAGGGCTGGATGAAATGTTTTTGTTAAATAACTGCTTATAGTTGTGACTTTGTAATATGGAAGCTAATTAAGGAGTATAGTTATATTGATGCAAAAAAAAAAAAAAGCACTCTGGGCAGGGTAGCTCAAACTTGTAACCCTAGCTATTTGGGAGGCAGAAATCGGGATTGCAGTCTGGGCAAAAAAATTGGTGAGACTTTATCTTTACCTATGGCTTAGCGCAGTGGTGCATACTTGTTATCCCACTTTCAGAGGAAGTACATGGATGGGTTTGGTATCACATGCTTATCATCCCAGTGATATAGGAAAGTGCAAATAGGAGGATCACGGTCCAGGCTGTCTTGGATATAAAACATGACCATATCTCAAAAAAATAACCAACACTGAAAGGGCTGGGTAAGTGGAACAAATAGTGCGTCAAGCTGAGGTGTGCAACTGTAAGTCCCTGAGTTCAAAAAAAGAAAAGCCAGGCGCTGGTGGCTCATGTCTATAATCCTAGCTACTCAGGAGGCTGAGGTCTGAGGATCAACGGTTCAAAGCCAGCCAGCCCTTGCAGGAAAGCCCTTGAGACTCGTTTTTTTTTTTTTTAAATTTTTTACATTATTTTTATTTATTTATTTTTTGGTCGGTCGTGGGGCTTGAACTCTGGGGCCCTTAAGACTCTTATCTCCAATAAGAAAGTTGGAAGTGGTGCTGTGTCTCAGTTGGTAGAGTGCTCGCCTTGAGCTGAACAGCTGAGGGACAGTGCTCAGGCCCAGAGTTCAAGCCTTATGACTGACTAAAAAAAGAAAAACTTGGGTTGGAAGTGTGTCTCAATTGGTAGACTGTTAGCCAATGAGTGCAAGCTGCAGGTACTGAGTTTGTGAGTCCTGACCTCGGACCTAACAAAAGAAGAAGAAGAAAAAAAGAAAAACAAGAACAAGTCAGGCTGGGAGGCTCAGTGGCATTGTGCTTGCCTACCATGCACAAAGCCATGGGTTTGATTCCTCAGTACCACATACACAGAAAAAGGTGGAAGTGGCATGGTGGCTCAAGTGGTAGAGTGGTAGCCTGAAGCAAAACAAAACAAAACAACTCAGGGACAGCACCCAGGCCCCAAGTTCAAGCCCCAGTACTGGCAAAACAAACCAAAAAAGTCAAATCCAGAATTAGAAAGTGGAAGAAATAATAAAAAAAATCAACACAGAAACTGATGAATTAGAGGAAAATACAAATAGTCAATGAAACACCTGTTGCCTGAAAAGATAAACAAGATAGTCAAACCCTTAGTCAAACTTACCAAAAGGAATTGTCAGAAGACCCTATCAATAAAGTTAGGAGATGAAAAGGGGTATATCACAACAAATACCAGTGAAATCCTCAAGACCATTTGGGACTAAAGTAGGCAGTTGTTTTTGATTTTAAAAAAAGTTGTTAGAGCCTGAGTGGACTTAATTGCTCATTGGTAGAGTGTGTGCTTATTTACCATGCATGATTTCCTAGGTTCTAGTTGTATCACTGTAAATAAAAGACAGTTTATATGGTAAAAAAACATGTATGTAGTGTTCTGTGAAAGAATTTACTTAAATATATATGGAAAATATATATGGAAAAATAAATAAAACTGCAAACAATAGTTGCTTATTGATTGGAGACCTTGTGGTTGGCTCGAATGGTGAAATTCCTTTCACTATATTAAATAATCTTTTTTATCTGCTTCAGGTATAACATTTGCTAATTTTGTGTACATTAATATGCTCTAATGATTAAATTTAAATGGATCCTAATATTATTTATTTTGTTTTTACTAGGCATATTTGATGAGACCTTCTATAATATTTTTTGATGAAATAGATGGTTTAGCTCCAGTTCGTTCCAGTAGACAAGATCAGATCCACAGGTAAGTTTTTTTCCTTAATCTATGTTCTCTTCCTTTTATTCAGGGAATATTTAATATTGGTTAAATACTCTACTTTTGGAAAGAATTATAAAATAATGATTTATTTCCTTGAGGACCACTTCTTTTGCTTAGCATATGGGCCAGCAAACCATACTTTTTTTTTCATTGTAAAGATGCTGTACAGAGGTGTTACAGTTACATGAGTAAGACAATGAGTATGTTTCTTGTCGAGCATTGTTACCCCTTCCCAAGTTCATTTCCAATATACTGTTGCAATGGGTGTCTGTGTCCTTGTGTCAGCATTCTGTTATTTCCCTTCCCTTCCCCAAAGTAGACAAATGTATATATAAGATGCAGGGTACTAAAATCAAGTACAGTGACAACAGGGTATACCATATGGGGAAGAACATAAAAAGGAAGCAAAAAAAAAAAATCACATAGAACATTAAAAGTAGCAACAACAAAGAGAGAGCTCTTGTGTCCATATCTTGGGATTCATTTCACTTAGTATTATCTTTTTTTTTAATTAATTTTTTTTCTCGAGTCCTATTTACTTTGTTGTATCTCCTTACATATTGTATTTAACATCCATATATCAGGGAGAACATGTTCCATCTGTCTCTTTGCTCTTGGCTTACCTCACTCAAAATGATTTTTTCTAATTCCATCCGTTTCCCTGTGAATGCCATTATTTTGTCCTTTCTAATGGCTGCATAATACTCCATTGTATATAGCAAACCACACTCTTGTAGGCCAGTTTCAGTCTTGTTTTTATAAATGAAGTTACATTGGATCACAGCCATGTTTATTCTGTAAGCATTATATATGGCTGTTTTTGCATTACAAGAGCAGAATTGTATAGTGGTAACAGAGACACTCAGGCTTGCAAAAGTTGCAGCATTTACTGTCTGTCCCTTTACAGAAAAATGGCCTTAATTTGTGTTTCTGTAATATTTTGAAATTTATCTATGTGAACTATACTAATATTTTGTTCTATTTCATTTCTTAGTATAAGTCACTGTGTGTGTATGTGTATGTGTGTTTGTGTATCTCAATTTATCATGTGATGGAGATTTGATTTCACTTTTGGCTACTGTTATAATATTACCATGCATATTTGTATCCGTGTTTTTGCATGAAACACATATTTTCTGTTGGTTAAACATCTAAAAGGTAAATTATCATGTCTAATAGTAAGTGTAGGGAAGATGGGAAGGGATGGGAAGGGAAAACAAAAAAAAATAGTAAGTGTACATTTAAGTTTATATGGTAGCCATTATACTGTGTTTTGAAATACTTGTACTGTTTTGTGTGCCTTGTTTGTCTACATTTGGTATTGTTAACTTCAGCGATTCTATTGAGTGTTACAACACTGGGTTTAATTTTCATTTTCCACAAGTAATATTATTTTAGTTTCTACTCATCCTTTTTTACATTTTCTTTTGTGAAAGGTATTACTTACTGCCTTTTGGGGCTGGTGATATAGCTGAGTGGTAGAGTGTGCCTGCCTAGCAATTATAAAGCCCTTTTCTGCATTCAAACTCTGGTACTACCAATAACAAAAAAACTTTAGATCCCTCAAAAAAAATAGATAAGTATTAAATTGTCTTATTGTGCTATATTGTTGTCAACACTTTTTGGGGTATGTGTGTCTCAGTCTTTGGACTTCAACTCGTGGCTTGGGCACTGTCCCTGAGCTTTTGTGCTCAAGGTTATCACCCTACCATTTGAGCCACAGCTTTACTTCTGGCTTTTTAGCAGTTAGAGATGAAAAATCTCTTGAGTTCATCTGCCCAGGATGGCTTTTAATCTTGATCCTCAGGTCTTAACCTCCTGAATAGCTAGGATTATAGGTCTGAGCTACAGGTTGGCTTGCTTATTTATTTAGACAAGTAAGTAGTAGGTGGTTATTTTCAGATAGGATTTCACTATATAGAACCATGGTTAGTCTTGAATTTAGCAATCTTCCTACTTCTACTTTTTGGGTGGATTAGGGGCACATGCCAGCATGCATCTCCAGTTTTTGTTTTTGTTCTTTTGGTCTGTCTTGGGGCTTGAACTCTGGGCCTGCGCACTGTCTCTGAGCTCTTCAGCTCAAGGCAAGCGTTCTACCAGTTGAGCCATAGCACCACTTCCAGTTTTCTGGTGGTTAATTGGCGATAAGAGTCTCATGAACTTTCCTGCCCAGGCTGGCTTTGAGCCTTTATCCTCAGATCTCAGCTTCCTAAGTAGCTAGGATTATAGTTGTGAGTAGTATTTATTAAGCTGGTCTTGGGGCTTGAACTCAGGTTCTGGTGCTGTCACAGAGCCTTTTGGATCAAGGTTCATGCTTTACCACTTGAGCCACAGCTCTGTTTCTGGCTGTGTGTGCATAGTGCGTGTATATTTTCCCGTGTGTGTGTATGCGCACGCGCGTGCCTGTGCACTTCTCTCTTGTGTGCGGTTATTTGGAAATTTTGTTTGTTTGTGTGTGTGTGTGTGTGTGTGTGTGTGTGTGTGCGCGTGCGCGTGCTGTTTATTTGGAGACACAAGTCTCATGGACTTTTCTGTCCATGATCCTCAGATCTCAGCCTTCTGAGGGTAGGATCACAGGCATGAGCCACCAGAGCCCAGCTAGTAGTATTTATTATTATTTCCCTTGTTTGTTTGCTTATCTATCTATCTATCTATCTATCTATCTATCTATCTATCTATCTATCTATCTATCTACTCATTCATTTAATTTTGTGGCGCCAGTGATTGAACCAAGAGTTTTGTACATGTTAAGCAAAGTGCTCTTTATTTTATTTTTTTGCCCAGCTTGGGAATTGAACTCTAGGCTTGCATGTGAGGCAAGCACTCTACCACTGAGCCATCTTCCTACCCCTGCTCTTTTTTTTAATTGAATTTTTTTTTAATCTAAGGGAGCCCTTGCTATATTACTCAGACTGTCCTTTAGCTCTTGGGCCTTGTCAGCTCAGCTTTTAATTTTGATCAAATCTTTTATTCCCCCCAATTTTTGGTGGCTATTTGAAAGCATTGTTGAATTTTTTGAGTAGTTTGAAATTGAGTAGTTTGATATTGGATTAAATTATTTTTGTGGTACAAGTATTTTATTAAAATTTAAGACTAGTAAATGTTATTCAGCAGTAGTGTTTATAGTTTAAAAAGGAATACCTTTAAGACTTTTTCCTGAATTGTTTTACAGCTCTATAGTTTCAACCCTCCTTGCTCTTATGGATGGATTAGATAACAGGGGTGAAATTGTTGTTATTGGTGCTACAAACAGACTTGATTCTATAGATCCTGCACTCAGGAGACCAGGTCGTTTTGACAGAGAATTCCTTTTCAACCTTCCTGATCAAAAGGTAACAGTTTATGTCTTCTCTATTATTTTTTATATATAATGCAGAAATTACCAAGCATACAATGTAAGAATGATACTTAAGGAAGTTTCATTGTTCAACTTTTTTGGTAATGGTATATCTTAGTTAATATTAAAAACATCTTGTCTAGCCAGATGTACTATAGTATTCCTGTAATCCTAGCACTTGGTAGGGCACTGAGTTAGGAGGACAGTGAGATCCTGTTTCAAAGCAAAACTAAATCGTGTGTAGCTATCGAACAGTTCTTTTTATTAGCAGTTATCGTAATGCTTATGAATTTGAGGAACAAGAAAACTCTTTGATAATGTTGCTGAATATGCTAAACTTGCTCTTGTTTTTATTTCTCTAGGCTGTAGTACTTACCTTGTATGATGGTTATACGTCTCTAGTTAGCTAAAATAGCTCATTTTTCCTATGAAAACAATGTTTTCATTGGTACTGGATCTTTATTTATAAAAGCACACATTGAGTTTGGGTGGGTTTCTAAATGAAGAACCAGTTTCAATTTTGTTGTTGTTGTTTTTATGGCTTGAATTCAGAGCCTGGGTGCTGTCCCTGAGCTGTTTTTGCTCAAGCTAATGCTCTACCACTTGAGTCACAGCTCCACTTCTGGCTTTTTTGGTGGCTAATTGGAGATAAGAATCTCATGGACTTTTCTGCCTGGTCTGGCTTCATTCCACAATCCTTGTATCTCAGCCTCCTGAGTAGCTAAGAGTATAGGCATGAAGAACTAGCTGAAATTTTTATAACATCAAACAAAAGTCAGTATAGATTCATTATGATGTAGTTTTTAAAAGAATATATAATTAAGACCCATTTATTATATAAAATGTTGTTTCATATGATATACAAAGTTATTTCTTCCTCTCTCTCTTTTTTTTTTTTTGTTATTGTTGATTATTGGGCTTGTACAAAGGGCCTGGGCTCTGTCCCTGAAGTTTTTTGTTCCAGGCTAGTGCTTTACCACTTTGAGACTCAGGTCCACTTGCAGTTTTTTGATGGCTAATTGGAGATAAGAGTCTCATGGACTTTACTGCCTGGACTGGCTTTGAACTATGATCCTCAGATCATTGCCTCCTGAATAACTAGGATTTACAGTCCATCACTGTGCCCCACTTCTTTTTTCTTCATTTTACTTGAAATGTTTTTTGTTAGTTTTGGTTTAATTCTCCTCGGTCCAGGTCTTTACTGCTTGTAATTGAAACATTAATTGTTGATTCCAGATTTTTACAAACTTTATTCTTGATGATTTTGAAATTATTATGTTTTGTTTTGGTAGTTGTACCCCATATTTTTCAAATAGTCAGTACCATTAGCTTAGTTAAGGTTTTAATTTTTGTATTTCAAGAAGTGTTGAGGTTAAAGTGTTGTTTTTCCTGTAAGGGGAAGGCAGCTGTAAAACATAATTCTGATATAATTCTAGGTGATGGTAATATAACTAGTTAATGGATTTTTTTTTTATCAATTTTCTGTTTTACCAAAAATTTGTTTTGTAATTAAGATTTAGACGTGCTACACATTGAAATTTAAGCTGTTTAAAAGTACTTGTCATTTAGGGCATTATCAATCAAATGCCTAATAGTATAAAAACAAAACCACAAGTTCTGTGAAATCTAAAGTTTATTAAACATTATTATTACAATCATTTATATTTATATGATATTCCAGGAGATATGTATCTCATACGAGAGCCATTCATATGATTGAAGATATAAACTCATTTGTTTACATGACTTTAAATGGTAAAAAGTACTTATTTTTTTTTTTTTTTTGTGGGTCATGGGGCTTGAACTCTGGGCCTGGGCACTGTCCCTCAGCTTTTTAGCTTAAGGCGAGCACTCTACCACTTGAGCCACAGGGCCACTTCTGATTTTCTAGTGGTTTATTGGCGATAAGAGTCTCACGGAGTTTTCTGCCCAGGCTGGCTTTGAACCATGATCCTCAGATCTCAGCCTTCTGAATAGCTAGGATTACAGTCATGAGCCACTGGTACCCAGTTCAGACCAACTGTTTAAGACACATTGATTTTTTTTTTTTTGCTTTGCAAGTTAGGATCTCACTGTTTCCCAAGCTAGTCTCATCTCCTGGGCTCAAGTGATCCTAGAAAAGTAAATTTTAACTTTACATTGTAGTCCTAAATGAATTACTCATTTGTTGTGTATTTCCAATCATGTTTATTCAATTCTAAGAATATTGAATGTCTTAGCTTGTGAAACAGAAACAAGACCTTTTACTCAACTTCACATGATATAGATGTTGGGTGTCTATTTCTTTAAAATCATCGACCATTTTGGGGTATATATTTCCAAAATTTGTTCTACCATATTTGAGTTGTTGCTAATATGTCTTTTAACCTGTACTCTTCTTTTAGGCAAGAAAACACATCCTACAGATCCATACGAGGGACTGGAATCCAAAATTGTCAGATGCTTTTTTAGGTGAACTGGCAGAAAAATGTGTTGGTGAGTGCTCCTATTTGAGTCTTTTGGTTGTCACTGTTCTCCCTTTCCTGTTGTGTTTGAAGTGTAATGAGTATAATTTTGTCTTTGATTGTACAATAGATGTTTTTGCCTTTTATTTTAATATTTTACTTAAAGTTTGCAAACTTCTAAATTAGAATTTTTAACTACCATCAGATGTTTGATTAACAAGTCTTTGATGTTTGATTAACAATTAATAAGCCTTTCATTTAGGGCTGAGTACCCTTAATAACAGTACAGTATCTCCTTTTAGGAATTGTCCCTTATCATAAATTGAACTAAGAAAAATTAGGTCCTGGTCAAAGGCAGGAATGCAGTCCTTTGCTTTGTAGATGACACAGTCAATCTCATCCTGTGGTGTAGATAAAAGTTGGGTGGGAGGGGCTCTCAAAATACTTAACTGGATTTGGAAATTAAAATATTACAATTTAACTTAAAATTCATCACAGTAGAACATTACCTCACAGAGTGAACAGACAATACTTTTCTAAAAGGATGGGTTGAGAGGTTATTTATAAACACAGGAAATAGACTCAGGGTTTTAGCTTTAATTAGGATTGAAATAAAAAGAGATACATTATGCCTAACAATACACACAGATTTTTTTTCCTTCATTCACTTTTCCTCTTTTTGTCTGTTTTTCTCTCATACTATGCAAAATACAAATTTCAAAAATTTCTCTCCATAAACTTTACAGGCATTATTAAGAAATCCCTCAAACAAGTCCACTAATAATAGTAGTCTATTTGGGAAAACTTTAAAGTTACCAAAACCAAAAAGAACAATTTAGTTTTAAAAAAATCAAATAATTAAATTTAAATAGAACATTAGTCCATTCAGTTAGCTACATCCGAATTATCCTCTTCATCCACAGGGACCTCCATCTCCGAAGCAGCATCCCTCAGCTTTTGAACCACAAAGACCTCCGACATCTTCTGGTGAGGAGAAAACGTAAATCTCTCCAGCACTACTCCAGTTTAAGCTTTGCCTGGTATAAGAGAGCATGCGCCAAAAAATTTCATGTAAATTTGGCTTGATCTTTGCAAAGCCTGTGCTGCTTTATGGGAGAGGGTGGTATTTGGTTAAAAACAACAACACCAGTCTTTTCCCATTTTGAAATTTGTCCCTCTTCATTTGTGGTATTATTTTATTATTAGAGTTCAGATCAGATTGGGATTTTTTTTGTAGATTTTTCTGCAAATTTATCATAGAATAATCCTTAGCTAAAATAAGTAGAATAATTTGGGAAATTCCCTAACAGCTAGGTATTCTAAAGTATTCTATTATCCTATCTACCACCAGAAATAGGACACATTCTTATTTAATTCACTCAGCTATTAGAATCTTAGTTCCCTTTTGCATTTCCAAAGGTCAGTACTTCTTAATTTTCCAATTTATTTATTTTAGTTTTTCAGACATTTTCCTGTTTAAATATTTATGACATAATTTCTTACTGGACTGAAAAACTTCTCTTGCCTTTTTACCTATTTCATAGGATGACAGTATGTTCGCTGAATTTACTTACATGCTGTTACCTTTCTGGATAGTGACACAAAAATTTATGGCAATTAATTGATTTGTTTTGGGTTATGACATTCCATTTAAGAACTAGTTCACATGAAAAATGGTCAAGCCGGGGCATTGGTAGCTCCTACCTGTAATCCTAGCTACAGAGGAGGCTGAGATCTGAGGATCACAGTTCAAAGCCAGCCCGGGTAGGAAAGTCTGTGAGACTCTTATCTCCAGTTAACCATCAGAAAACCAGAAGTGGTGCTGTGGCTCAGTGGTAGAGTGCTCGCCTTGAGCTGCAGAGCTCAGGGCCAGTGTCCAGACCCAGAGTTCAAGCTCCAAGACCAACAAAAATCAAAACAAACAGGTCAAATGCACTAGTTCAAACAGGTATGAAGTCATAGTAAATTTTAACTCCATTATGAATTTATCAATTTTTATATACTTAATGTATTTTAACATGTGTGGGTTTAATTCAGTGATATTTATGCCTAAAAAACATCTTTGCAGTCTTTATGAACAATGTAAGGATGGTGGTAACTTTTATTTTGAAATAAATTACTTGCTTAATACTAGGAGAAATTTGAATTTGACTGTATGATTTTTATGTAGTAAAAATCTTCTCAACATGTCTTTGGTATCGAGAACATTTATAAATCTAATAGGAGCTTCAAATTGAGAGCTTAACCTTAATCATATTTCCTTTATTTTTGGTGATATGGTTAAAACAATGAAAACATATCCATGAAATATCCTTATTGTGGGCCTTCATTTTGTTTGACATTGTCCTTTAATAGTTACCTTTTCAGTCTTCCAGGAAAAATTTTCTCCGCCCTCTAGATATTTGTGTTCATTACAGTATTAGATTTGTAATCGGAGAATTAGAGTCATTATGAAAGAGATGTTAATAAGGTTTTAGTATAGTTTTAGTATTACTAGAAAGATTTTATCATTTGTTTTCTAAACCCGAACTCTTTTGAAGAGTGCAAAGGTATATTATTGGTTATGATAGGACAGAGACCTTACTAGAACCTGTGGTCATCTAAAGTGCTGCTAATTTAGAAGTGATTCTGATACAATTTTAATTCTTTTAAGAGTTTAGTGGATTCATAATTCTGTTTTTGTCTTATCAGAATAATTTTAAAAGATTTTTCAGAATACACATTTATGCTTCCAAACTCAGGTATTCTGATTCTGTGTGTGTGTGTGTGTGTGTGTGTGTGATTCTGATTCTGTGTGTGTGTGTGTGTGTGTGTGATTCTGATTCTGTGTGTGTGTGTGTACTGGGGTTTGAATTTAGGTCCTAGTCACTATACCTTAACTTATTCACTCAAGCCTGGTACTCTATCCCTGAGCCAGAAGCTTTGCTTCTGCTTTTTAAAAAAAATTTTTTGTGTGGTTAATTGGAGATAAGAGTCTCATGGATTTCCTGCTCAGGCTGGCTTCCTACCACGATTCTCAGTTCTCAGCCTCTGAATAGCTAGGATTACAGACTCGCATCCCACTGATTCTTTGTTGTGTTGCCTGAGAATCTGCATTTCTTCTTTTTTCTTCATCATTGTCTTCCTACTCCTTTATTTTCCTTCTTCTGCTTCCTTTGCTTCTTCTGCTTCTTTTTCTCTTTTCTTTACTTCCCTTCTTCCTCTTTCCTTCCTCTTTTCCTCCTCCCTTCCTCTTCTTCCTCCTCCTCCTTTGTTAGCAATGGGGTTTGAACTCTTGCCAGGCAAGCACTCTCTCCCCTATATCATGCCTTCCTGCATTGTCATTTTTCAACTGTGATCTCACATTTATGTCTGGGCTGGCCTGGACTGTGATTTTTTCCATTTAAACTTCCTCTATATCTGGGATGATAGGCGAGTAGCACTGTGCCCAGTTTTTTTTAATTGGTTGAGATGGGTGTCTCACAGAGTTGTCCCCCTATGTGTTTTTTGAAACTTGATCATCCCAATTCCTGCCTACTGAGCAGCTAAGATTATGGATATGAGCCACTGCACTTGGCTTTTTTTTCCATTTTATTGTTCATCTTGATGATTGTTCTAAGTTGAGAACCACAAATGCGTTTTTTCATTTTTTTTTATAATAAAGATGATCTACAGAGGGGTTTCAGTTACAAGAACCACTAATTTTTACAAGTAGTATAAACCAATAATTCTTACAAGCAAAGGTATTTCTTTTATGTGTGTTGGGTATGATAATCTATGTGAAAATTTCTTTCAGTAAATGTGTTCTATTGTTGATAAACTCCAATGTGGAGTAAATTCAGAAAAATAAACAATATGCCTGCAATCAACGTTTAATAGCAAAAATGCTATGCATAATATTTACTTTTAATGTCTGTTACTTTTGTTTTGCCTGTTTGTGAACTTTTAAGTTTTTTAACATAAGTTTCTGCATTTGAATAGGACTATATAATATGTTCACTTTTATGTATATACCCTTAAGGAAAGAAAAGAAATATGGTTGTTTATATTAAATCAAGATTAGAATTTATTTTTTCATCTGCTATAGAAGATAGCACTCAATATGCTATAACCATATTCTTGGATTCTTTGCCATTCATAACTTTAGATGTTCTATACTTACTTTGTTAAACTAATATAATGGGTGTTGATGTCAGAGAATTTTTTTTCTGATTATTAATTGAGAAGTAGAAAATAAAATGGAGAGACTAGTAAATCTAATTATTCTGAAGAATTATTTGGGAAAAATTATGTCCTGGGGCAGTATTTAAGCTTATTCTGCTTATAGTTTCTTGAGGTAAATTCTCACAAATCATATTTTTCCCTAATTCAGTAAGTTTCTTTGTATTTGCCATTTTTATTTCAATATTTTTTAAAATTTTATTCAGTATTTGATTTCATGTCATTGTGAAGTATAAAAAAATAGATGAGCCTGATACTCCTTGAGGAGTTTAGGGTCTGCTGTTATATGATTTCCCTTGTATGTGGTTTCATTTCCTGGTATAACTGAGTTTTATCAAATACAGGTTTACTTTCTGACAGGAAAACACATACCACTAGATTGAATTTTTCTTCCTTTCATATGTTCAAATGTTTAAATGTGTTTGTTGCTCAGATAAATGAAATGATTAAAAAATACTGCAAGTTTGATCTGTTTAACTATTCAACATGGGTAATGGGTAACACTTCATATTGGCATAGCCCATGAAACTAGGTTGTTAATCATTTTAAGCTAGGTTGTTAAGCATAGTCTGTTTGGAAATTCTTATTTTCCTCAGTATTTTTGGAGCTCTCAGACAAGATTCAATTTTAAATTATTTTTTTGGGTGTTGAATTACTAGTAGCTTAAACTGCTAATTAATCTCTTTACAGTATTTTGCATTCATGTTTAGAAGTTAGGAAAAGTAGAAAAAATAAGCCAGGCATGGTTCATAACCTGTAAAGCTACTTGAGAAGCTAGGCAGCTCTGATTCTGTCTCAGACTTTAGAAAGAGCTGAGGATGTAGCTTAGTGGTAGAACAGTAGGACTGAATTACTGACAGAATAATAATGAAAGATGAAAAAGAAATGATAATTCTTTTTGTTTTTTTGTTTTTTGTTTTTTTTTTGGTCCGGTCATGGGGCCTGAACTCTGGGCCTGGGCGCTGTCCCTCAGCTCTTTAACTCAAGGCTAGCGCTCTACCACTTGAGCCACAGCACCACTTCCGGCTTTATTTTTCTGCTTATGTGGTGCTAAGGAATCGAACCCAGGGCCTCATGCATTCAAGGCAAGCACTCTACCACTGAGCCACCTTCCCAGTCCATGATAATTCTTTTAAAACCTTCCCCCAAAAGGTTGTACAGTAGGTTAAGATATGGTATGGCTTGTTTTCATATTTTTTAGTGTATCTTTTTGTTAATTTAAAATATACAAAACATTGCTTATTTAAGAGCTAAATGCTTTGTTGGGTGATTTAGAATGCTCAGTTTTCATTTTGTTAATAAAATTATTTAGAATTAATTAAATATATTTGTACTTGAAAGAATGAACTTAGCTTTGCTATTCTTCTCCTTCTGTGCATTAGGCTACTGTGGAGCAGACATCAAGGCCCTGTGCACTGAGGCTGCCCTGATTGCCCTTCGGAGGCGTTATCCTCAGATCTATGCTAGCAGTCATAAGTTGCAGTTGGATGTTTCCTCAATAGTGCTCAGTGCCCAAGATTTTTACCATGCCATGCAGAATATTGTGCCTGCTTCCCAACGTGCTGTGATGTCTTCAGGACATGCGCTATCCCCCATTATAAGGCCACTGCTGGAAAGAAGCTTCAACAACATCTTAGCAGTCTTACAAAAAGTGTTTCCTCATGCTGAAATTAGCCAGAGTGACAAGAAAGAAGGTACTATAGACTAATTTTTTCTTTTTTCTTTTACTGTTTAGATGAAAAAAATACAAACATAATTTGCTTATAAGATTATTTATTGGGCTGGGAAGGTGGCTCAGCGGTAGAGCGCTTGCTTTGCATGCTCGAGGCCCTGGGTTCGATTTCTCAGCACCACATAAGCAAAAAGAAAAAAGCTGGAAGTGGCGCTGTAGCTCAAGTGGTAGAGTGCTAGCCTTGAGCTGAAGAGCTGAGGGACAGCGCCCAGGCCCAGAGTTCAGGCTCCACGACCAGACCCCCCCCAAAAAATATTATTTATCATTGTATCTATGTATTTTAGGCCTGGTATACTGCCCATGATAAAGTAGCTGCCTGGGAATCTTTGTAAAATGTATGAGCGAATGTTTACTCTTAGGATATAGTGACCATGTTATTGTAAGTGAGTTAACTATCTTTAGAAAGTTGATAATAATACTAGTTTAGGTTTATTCTTTTAGACACAAATTATCATTCATTAATACTCATTACAGTCCTATAGGTTAGGTGCTGTCCCTCAGCTCTTCAGCTTAAGGCTAGCACTCTACCACTTGAGCCACAGTGCCACTTCCGGCTTTTTTCTTATGTGGTGCTGAGGAATCGAACCTAGGGCCTTGAGCATGCAAGGGAAGTGCTCTACCACTGAGCAACCTTCCCAGCCCCCAAGTGTATTTTCATAACTGGGAATTCATATATTTCTGTCAAATTTTTCAATTTTTAAAATTTAGTTTACTTTCTGTAAAAAAAAAAATAGCAAACTTTCCTGAATAATAAATGATGAATGAATACTGAATAATGGTAGACCACTTATCTTTGAGAATTTTCATTTTAGAGAATTAACATCTGTTATGCTTTAATTTTATTTTCGTAAGTATGAAGTGCACTTAGTTTCAGTTAATGGAGCTCAATAGAGAAGAGAAACCAAATTTTATTTATTTATGAATTAGATGTATTTGATTTGTTTTGCTCTTAAACACATATCCTTGAACATGAAATTATTTGAAAGTACTCAATTGCTAGATTTATTTAAAAATATCAATTTTGCGGGCTGGGAAGGTGGCTCAGTGGTAAGAGCGCTTGCCTTGCATGCGTGAGGCCCTGGGTTCGATTCCCAACACCACATAAGCAAAAAGAAAAAAGCCGGAAGTGGCGCTGTGGCTCAAGTGGTAGAGCACTAGCCTTGAGCTGAAGAGCTGAGGGATGGCGCTCAGGCCCAGAGTTCAGGCCCTACAACCGGACCCAAAAAAAAAAATCAATTTTGCTAAATATTTATCTTTTAAAGCCATTCAGTTAGCTCTGACAGTATAATTTAGATCTGATTTTATAAACCACCCTTCTATTTGCTTTGACTCCTGTCAAAATCTATCCGTCTGTCTATCTATCTATCTATCTTATCTATCTGTCTATCTGACAATCAAATTGTCCATGCTGGCCTCAATCAGCCCTCCCAACTCACCCGGTTGGATAAATGGGATTACAGGCATGTGCCTGAAGTTGATTTATGTCAACCTGAATTCTCCTTAGCTCTTCTGCACATTTAAGCATTGCTGTTTATTGAATGGATTACTACTTTCAATAGGTATGTGTAGTTATTAATACTTCATATTATAGTCTAAGAAGCTTTAAGTATTGTATTCTCAGTAAGAATTTTAGTTTTAATTAGTATACTGAGTAATACCCCAATGGCCCATAGAGAAGACTAAAGCTATTTTAATAATGAGTGCATGTTTAAGACTGATTTTTGACTTAATTCCTGACTCAATCTTAATTCATAAAATTTTCCTTGAAAAGTTGTATTCCATTTTTAAAACTGGGTCAAGTTGTTACTTTTTGTTGCTTCTTTCAGAACTAGACTTGGTATCCTATTAATTGAACCTAATATGAAAAAGACTGGTTTTGTGTCCAAATTTAATTCAGAGTTTTAGTGAGTAGGTGGAGTTTTATAGTATAACCATTGCTTTTCCAAGACTAATTTTGGTCAGCAGAGTCTCTCAAATTACATCTCATAATTCTTAGGTAGATAATCTATAAAGGTGAAAAAATTATGTTTATAAATCTCATAATTCTTGTGCTTTTTTTGTTGTAACAGATACAGAAAGTTTAATTTTAGATGATAGTGAAGATGAGAATACTTTATCAATTTTTGAGACCAATTGTCACTCAGGATCACCAAAGAAACAGTCATCAACTGCTGCTATACATAAGCCCTACCTTCATTTTACAATGTGAGTAATTGATATCAAATTTCTTTGAATTTAGGAGGATTTTTGTTACTTTATGCTTAGAATTATAGTATATATTTATAACCTTGAAGTATTTTTTTGTTTGGACCCAACTCTGGAACACTTTCATTGTCTTTTTGTGTGGTTATAATCACTTTGTTCATCAGCTTCTTGAGATTAGCTTTTCCAATTTCCAATTTAAGTATCTAAATAGAGAATATTTTCTGCTAGTTTGCTTTGAAAAAAAATGTGTGCGTGCATGCATGTGTATGGGTGTGTATGTGAGTAGAAATCAATATATAGGCCCCTATTTTATGTCTTTTTGTTTGAATTTGTATTAAGGTGGATAAAAATAAAACATTTATCTCGAACTTTAACTTATGAGAAAGTTCAGGGGATAATTTAGGGAGCTTGAGACTAATAAAGAGACTTCAAATCCAAAATTACTCAGTGATTAAACCAATAACTTTGATTCTGTAAAAGCACATTAATTTTTGAAATTTGGATTTTATGATTTTTTTACTTTTGTCTTTTTATTATCTGTGTTAAAGCAGCTTTTGCTGTGCTATAATGAGTAAATGTTCTTAATGGAAAGGTAATTTTAAATTAAGAGACCAAGTGTCTTCAAATAATAATAGCATCATTACTTGCATTTACATAATTAGCACCATATGAAGGACCATAAAGTTCTAGTCAGGTAGGTTTAATAGCATTTTGATTTAGATTAGCCTGAATTGTATATACCTTAAGTAATTTTTCTTTGAAGTATTTTAAACAAATTTAAATCTTCAATTTGAGTCAAATTTTCCTCCTGTAGATTTTAGGGGAGATTTTATTTTTTTATATTTTTGATAGTACTGGGATTTGAACTCAGGGTCTTGTGCTTGATAGGCAGGACCTTCTACTACTTGAACCATCCCTCCAACTTAGTGAAATGTTGATTTGATTATTTACATTATTTTATAATCCTTCTACATTTTAAAAGTGAGCCTAAGCCAGGCACTGGTGGCTCAGGCCTGTAATCTTACGTACTCAGGAGGCAGAGATATGAGGATCACTGTTCAAAGCCAGCCCAGTCAGGAAAAGCCAGGAAACTCCAATAAACTACCAGAAAACTGGAAATTGTGGCTCAAATGGTAGAGTGCTTACCTTGAGCTGAAGAGCTGAGGGACAGTGCCCAGGCCCAGATTTCAAGCTCCACGACCAATCCCCCCCAAAAATAAGTGAGCCTAAATTACTTCTACTCATTCTTTTTTTTCCTTTTTTTTAAAAAAACAAACAAACAAACATTGTTATTATTTTAGAATTTTTTCCCTTCATTTCCAGATCTTTTCTTTTATGGTCTCAGGAAGTTCTCTTAGACCTTTTTTTTGGTTGGTGTAAACATTTTCTGGATCCATTTTATTGATAATTATGGACAAGCTAGATACTTTTTTCTGCATTTACTTGGCTAGCTTATGTATGTTTGTGTATGTGTGTGTGTTATTTTGATAATCTTAGTTGTGTCAATTGAATTGTGTAATAGGAACAGTTAAACTATCAGATGATTTATGTTTCAGTTGTATAGGATACTTTGTGAATATAGAAATAGAATAAGCTTTTATTTCTAATTTTGTGTTTGACTTTTTTTAATGAAGAACATTATCTGCTATTGATTTAATATGTGCCAGTTGTATGGCTCATTTGTTTAGGAAGCTTTAATGAAGAATTTTTTTAGCTTCCTATATGAGTTCTCTTACCTTACTGGTTTCACTTTTATTAACCTCAAGAGAGCTATATACTAGAGTAATCAGATGTGTCAGTAATACCCATTAATTTATCTCTTTATTCATTCACTCATTCTTCCAATTTTCATTTTTTATTTTTTATTATATGCTAGGGCCTATACTTGGTTCTGACAACATAAGCATGAATAAGGTATACATAACTTTTACTCTGGAAAAGTTCTTGTTATTGGAGATAGTGAAGATTGTGATATAACTAAAGTTTTGTGAAAGTAAAGCTAATAATTCTGTTGGGAAAAACAAAAGCATCACATAGACACACTTTCATTTTGAGATTGAAGATCAGAGTTAGCTTGTGATTGCTCATTACATACTAGACAAGTGCTAGGTTATGTAAATTATGTAGCATTTGTGGTATCCTTGTTTTATAGGTGAAGAAGCTGAAGCATGAATGAATAAGTTCAGGAAAAATGCTGCTAGCAGATTGTAAAGCTAGGCTCTGTGCCATTTGTTTCCTGAGATTGCTTTCCCCACCCCCCCAAAAAAAAAACAAACGAATTTCTGAGTATAACAGGTAGAGAATAGTACTGTCCAACTTCTTTGAGCAAGTTGGGCAATTGGATTTTTTAAACAGTCTCCCAAAAATATACATATTTTTTTTAATAAGGGCTACATAAATATTTTTGTTTGATTGATTTTCTATTTGAGAAACATATGAACATGCCAGGTGAATGTATAAAAAGGTAATAGGAAACAAGAAAGCCTCATTTAGTACGAGTCTCCAGCTGTACTAGCATGGCATTTCTGATGGGTTTCTGGGAATAGTGTCCTAGCACAATGTTGAGATACTTTTTCAAGATTTAAGATAAGTTAGAAATCAAGATAGTTAAGGTCTCCCCATCTAGTAAAGAAGTCTTATGATGGAAAAATAAGTTTTCTTTCTTAGTTTATATTACCATAAGAGGATTAGAAACAGAGCTTTCTGAGGTTTTTAAAATGAAAATAGCTTTGTTTTTTCTGATTAGAAAGATGATATACTCTGTAGAAAATTCAAGTAATAAAGAAGAGCATAAAGAAGAAAGTAAAAATTAAAGTCCCAGAAGCTGAAGGTAATATTTGTTAAAGTTTTGGTGACCACACATCCATGTTCTCTTTATGCATATAAATAGACATACACATTATTTTATGAAGATTATATCCTCCTGTAAGTTGTTAATGTAACTTGTTTTTTAAATTCATTATGCTGGGAATGTTATTTCATGTCAGGTTATGTTTAATGTCATTCTTTTAAGATAGTTGCATAAACTGGGCGCCAGTTGCTCACATCTGTAATCCTAGCTTTTCAGGAGGCTGAGATCTGAGGATCACAGTTTGAAATCAGCCCAGGTAGAAAAGTCCTCATGAGACTCATCTCCAATTAACCACCAGAAAACTGGAAGTGGCGCTGTGACTCAAGTGGTAGAGCGTTCCCCTTGAGCTGAAGAGCTAAGGGACAGCGCCCAGGCCCAGAGTTCAAGCCCCACGACTGATTATCTCCCCCCCCCCAAAAAAAACCAACCAAAAAACAAAACGGATAGCTGCATATTTCCTAATTTTTTAGATGTTCTAAAATTTATACAACTTAAAATATTGAAGTTTTCAGTGGTTTATTAAATAAAGCAATAGACATCTTTCTAAGTATACATTTTTACATTATTATCAGAATCAGAGCTTAAGGTAAATATTAAGAACCATGATTGCCATTTCAAAGGGTGTATACATTTAAAACCTTGTTAAAGTGCTTTCATGAGGGTTTTTACCAATTTTATATCCTTGTCAATTTTGAGCCTTTTTTTTTTTGTCTGTGAGTGTGTTTGTGTGTATGTATATGTATGGTAATAGGCATCAAATCCAGGCTTTGTATATGCTGTGTAGATGCTCTGCCTTTAGGTTATACCCCCATTCCTGTTTGTATCTGTAAAATATCTTCTTGTTTATATCACTCATTTTTTTCTTTCATATATTTATTAAAGTACTTATTATGTGCCTAATACTGTCCTTGATACTTGGAATATGCCTGTGAAAAAAAATGAGCAAGTTCCCAGCCCTTACTGGGATACCTTTTAGATCAAGGAGACAAACAATAGGGTAGTAATTAGATAGATAGATAACAGATGATAAGCAAGTATTAAAAAAGCAAAAAGTGATCAGTGGATAGGGTGATGATAGCTTGAAGATAGGGTGAGTTACAGAATATTTTCAAACATATATTTTGGCATAGACTTGCTAACAGTAATTTTAGAAAAATTGTTTTCTTTTGATCCACTTATGAAAGTATTTGTTTTCTCACCATTTACATTTTTTAAATTAAGTTTTTTCAGTCTAATGGTTTAAAAAAAAAGACTTATTGCCAGGCTCTAGTGGCTCATGTCTATAATCATCTAGTTGGTGATGAAGTTCTTTTGAGTTTTCTTATTACCCTAATTTTAAGCAATTTCTTTTCCCTTCAAGCAGACCCATAACTGGTTATCTTTCCTCCCATGTTTTTTCTTCTTTCAGTAACCTTTCTCAAACTGGTTCTCAAACTGAACTAGAGTTATGTTTTGTTTTGTTTTGTTTTGTTTTTTTTGGTCAGTTGTAGGGCTTGAACTCTGGGCCTGGGCACTGTCCCTCAGCTCTATAGCTCCAGGCGAGCGCTCTACCACTTGAGCTACAGCGCCACTTCTGGTTTTCTGGTGGTTTATTGGAGATAGGAGTCTCATGGTCTTTCCTGCTCGGGCTGGCTTTGAACCATGATCCTCAGATCTCAGCCTCCTGAGTAGCAAGGATTACAGGCATGAGCCACCGGCGCCCAGCTGAATTATGTTCTTCAAAGCATGTACAATTGGATTACTGTATCTCTTGGGTTCTAGGACCATGCTTGGGTACTAAAACCTGTAGATACCCAAACCTTAGATATAAAAGTCTATGTTTGTATTTATTTATTTATTTATTTATTGAGTGAGTGAGTCAGTGAGTCAGTGAGTCAGTCAGTCATGGGGCTTGAACTCCGGGCCTAGATACTGTCTCTACTACCACTTTGAGCCACAACTCCACTTTTGGTGTTCTGGTTAATTGTAGATAAGAGTCTCATGGATTTTCCTGCCCAGGCTGTTTTCAAACTGTGATCTTCAGATCTCAGCCCTCCTGAGTAGCTAGGATTATAGGCATGAGCCACCCATACACAGCAGTGTAATATTTATAGACTGTGGATATCCTCTTTTACATGCTTTAAATGATTTAGAGTTTATTTATAATTCATAAATAATGTGAATAGTAATAAGAAAAAAATATCTGTTCATGTTCAGTTCAGGTACAACTTTCCCCCAAATTATTTTAGTGAAGTTCTTGGTTATGGAACTATGAGTATGGAGGGTTGACTGTATATGATATGTTATTCCTCTAGGGTATAGAGTATATATGCTTTCTCTTTGACTTAACTTTTATGTTTCAAACTTTTGTCATGGCTTCCAAAACCCTTCAGAAGCTGGGTGCCAGTGGCTCACGCCTGTAATCTCAGGAGGCTGAGATCTGAGGATCATGGTTCAAAGCCAGCCCGGGCAAGAAAGTCTGTGAGACTCTTATCTCCAATGAACCATTAGAAAACTGGAAGTGGCACTGTGGCTCAAGCAGTGGAGCTCTTGCCTTGAGCTGAAGAGCACAGCACAGGGAAAGTGCCCAGGCACAGAGTTCAAGCCCCACAATTGACCAAAAATAAATAAATAAATAAATAAAAATTTAAAAACCTTTCAGAATCTCAGTGTCCATTTTCTTCTTAATACTTTTGTACCTACATTGGTCCAGTATGTAAAAAAATTGCTTTGTGTGAGCTATTATCAGTAACCTCAAAGGCCTTGCCTTTTTAAGGTGCTTGTTCTTTACACATCCTGATTTCCTTCCATGGAATTCATGGTTTCTTCCTCGAATCTTTTGGGTTTCTACTTTTGTCACATTTTTCCAGGAAAGCTTTATATGGGTATGTCTTAGATCCCTCATAATGCCATATGGTTAAAAAAAATCTCACTAATTGCAGTGAATTATGGTAATTTGTAGGTTTGTGTTTTTACAAAGTACCAATCAGTTGGTGACTTGGGTAGTATTGTTGAGTACCCAAGGCCAAGACATTAATAGGTATTTTACAATTGTTAAATAAATATTTTAAAATGTTAATCTTTTCTGTTTTCCTTTAGAATTCTTCTGCTTATGTCTTTTACTAATATAGATTAGGCTTTTGGAATTTATTTTATTGTGGTTTTGTTTTTAATTCTGCACATAGCTCCTTTTTTGGGGGAATGGAGCAGTGCCAGAGTTTGAACTAAAATGCTTGTGCTTAGGCAAGTATTGTATTGCTGAGTCACACCTCCAGCCCTACCTTTTTGCTGGCTTTTTCTTTTTTGTGCTCATCTTGGGGTTTGAACTCAGAGCTTGGTTGCTGTCCCCAAGGTTCTTTTTCTCAAGACTAGCACTCTACCATTTGAGCCACAGCACCACTTTCAGCTTTTTCTGAGTAATATATTAGAGCTAAGAAAGGACTTTCCTGCCCAGGCTGGCTTCAAACCGTGGTCCTCAGGTTTCAGCCTCCAGAGAAGCTATGATTGATTACAGGCATGAGCCACCAGTGCCCAGCTTCACTGGCTGTTTTTAAGATAGGGTCTTGCAGACTTCCTGCTTGAGCTTTGGTCTAGACCTCTGTGTTGTTGCTGTCTGGCTTCCCTCTGTTAAAATGGGTCTTGTTGACTTTTTTGCCCAGGCTGACCTGACTGCAAATCTCCCAATCTCAGCCTCCCATCATACATGCTACTACTACAGCCATCAATGGATTAAGAAGTCTTGAGAACTTTTCTGCCTAGGTTGACTGGGAACCACAATCCTTCCATTCTAGCCTTTCAAGTGCTCTTACAGGTGTGCATCACCAGCACCTGGCTCAGCTCACATAAATTGTTCATACATTAAGAACCATTCTTGGGCTGGGAAGGTGGCTCAGTGGTAGAGTGCTTGCCTCGCATGCATGAGGCCCTAGGTTCGATTCCTCGGCACCACATAAACAGAAAAAAGCCTGAAGTGGTGCTTTGGCTCAAGTGGTAGAATGCCTTGAGCTAAAAGAGCTGAGGGACAGCGCCCAGGCACAGAGTTCAGGCATCAAAACCAACCCCCCCCCAAAAAAAAAAAACCAAAAAACTATTCTTACTTTTGTTGAAATTTTTGCTTTATTTGGTTGTCTGCCTTATGGTTCAGGTTATAGTTTTTTGAGTTCAAAAATTTTTACATTTTTAAGCTGGGTGCTGGTGGCTCACACCGGTAATCCTAGGTACTCAGGAGGCTGAGATCTGAGGATCGTGGTTCAAAGCCAGCCTGGGCAGGAAAGTCTCTTATCTCCAATAAACCACTAGAAAACTGGAAGTGGTGCTGTGGCTTAAGTGGTAGAGTGCTTGCCTTGAGCTGAAGAGCGCAGGAACAGCACCCAAGCCCCCACCAAAAAAAGTTTACATTTTTGTGAATAAAAAATATATGTAGGAAAAATATAAACATTGTCTATATTTGAGTATGTATATATACTGATGGCCTAGTGGTAGAACACTTGCATACCCTGCACGATGCCCTAGATGTCACCCTAGTATATGATACGTACTTGTTTATAATTTTTTTGTTTTGTCTTTGTTTAGAATTAATTTTTTTATTCTATGAAACAAAGTTATAAATCCTCTATATTTTTAAATAATGGTTTATAATGCATTTCTGTTACATTTTTATTTTTAAGCTTTTTTTCTTATATAAAATTCTCCCAACTACCAGGATTTATTTCCTGAGCTATTATATTTCATTGCTTGTTTCTTTGGTGTACTCTACTTTCTATTACTATTCTGTAGTAAGCTTTACTATAAAACAAGGCACATCCTAATATAATACTTCAGTATTCAGTACCTAGGTTTTATAGCCATGTGGACCTGTATCTGTTGACTTTTTCTCCAATCTTCACCCACCCTGTCTCTTCCTTTCTGACTCTTTCCTTTTCCTTTTCCTTTCTGTTCTTTATGTATTTAGTCTTTGTTTCTAAGCTCAGTTTCATGCTTTTTTTCTTGGGGGGGGGTCAAGATTTGTGTGTGTCTTGGTACTGAGGCTTGAACTCTGGCCTTGAGAGCTCTCCCTTAGATTGTTTTTTCTTAAGGATTATGCTCTACCACTTGAGCCACAGCTCTGCTTGTCTTTTGGGTAGTTAATTGGAAATAAGGGTCTCACAGACTTTACTGCTCAGGCTCGCTTTAAACTTTTAATCTTCAGATCTTCGCCTCCTAAGTAGGCAGGATTAGCCATGAGCCACTGGCACCCAGTTTTTGTGAAGATTTTTATTTGATATTGTGTGTCCAACCTTTTGTATTGTTTTTGAAATTGTGAATAGGTTCTCCTTTTTGTTTTCTCATTGGTTATTGATAGTTTATAAATTTGTTGATATTTTTTCTATTTCTTTAACTGGATATTCTGTTATTGTTAGTGATTCTTTTGGATTTTCTAGTATAAAACCACATTCTATGTAAATATAAATACCTGTTTTCAATCCAGTTTAATTTTACTTTATTATTGTATTGACTTAGAATTTCTAGCACTAGCTACCATGAGTAGCCAAAATTGTTTCATTTGTTATTTTATGGCACTATAACACTTAAAACACCAATATTTTATTTAATGTTTTCCTTCTCTATGTAAAGCTTTAGGTGTCATATATTTGGGCAAGAATAGTTAATTTTTATTATTACAGAAACAAAGCTTACCACTTCTGAAAAAGTCCTGTTTTGACTATATAAAATTTTTTGGTGATTTTAGTTCTTTACTGCTGCTGTAATAAAATGCCTTATACTGGGTAATTTATAAACAGCATAAATTTATGGTTTACATTTATGGAAACTGGGAAGATCAAGGTTAAAGTGGGTAGCATATTTGGTGTCTGTAAAGAACGAGTATCTGGTTTCAAGATATCTTAAATGTTGTGTCCTCATATGGCAGAAGCAGCTAGTGGATGCTAACTAATTCTCTTAAACCCTTTATTTATATTTTTATACTTTTTATTTTTGGTAGTACTAGAGTTTACAATCAGGGCTTTGGTTCTACTAAGCAGGTATTCTACCACTTGAGCCATATCCCCAGCCTTCTCTTTAAACCCTTTAATAGGCTCTGACTTCATGGTATAATCATGTACTAAAGGCAGCACTTTCCAATTTTGTCAATTCAATTTATGGAAGATACATTCAGACCATAGTAGTGGGAGCATATACATAACCCTACAATATATAATTTTAGCTATATTTTTAAAAATCATATTTTTAAATTAAACATTTTTTGTGGTAGAAAGGTTTGGATTTAGGGCTTTATGTTTGCTAGGCTGGCTGCCACTTGAATCTACCACTTGAATTATGCTTTCAGACCTGCTTTTGCTGGTTAATATGGAGGTGGAGTCTAGCAAAGTCTATCTGCCTGGGCTGGCTTTGAACTTCGATCTTTTGGGCCTTAGTTTCCTGAGTAGCTAGTAGGACTATAGGTGTATGCCTCCAGTTCCTGGCTAAAAAACCTATCATATTTAGAGTAATACTCAGATCCACATTTTTATTGGAAATAGGGGATTCTTAGCATTTGACTTGGAGTAAATAATAACTGATTGCATTGGCTTTTGCATCTCTCAAAGTTAATATATGTGATAAGATATAATGAATACAAAAGTAACCTTTCTTTTATTCATTCATTTATTTATTTAGTCAGTTGTGGGACTTGAACTGTAGGCCTAGGCAGTGTCCTTCAGCTCTTCAGCTTAAGGCTAGCACTCTACCACTTGAGCCACAGCACCACTTAATCTTCCTTTTAGAATGGATTTTATGTTTAAAACAATCTTGGTTGCTAAGATGGTCAGATAGTCAATATTTTAGAATCATGATTAATAAAGAAAATTACTATATTTTTAAAAAGTAAAGTTTTAATTTGAAGTTCAATTTTATTTGAATATTTTGTCTGCTGATTCATATTAATCTTTAGCGTGTATAGTTTTGAATCACTATTATGTCTTTCATGTATTACAGGTCACCATATCATCAGCCAACCTCTTACAGGCCACGATTGTTGCTGTCTGGAGAACGAGGCTCAGGTCAAACTTCTCACCTTGCTCCAGCACTTTTGCATACTCTAGAAAGATTCTCTGTGCATAGACTAGATCTCCCAGCACTTTATTCAGTTAGTGCCAAGACACCTGAAGAATCATGTGCACAGGTAGGTTTGTACTATATGTATGCTTATATCATGTACCTGGTGGTTACAGATAAGGCTTTTTTAAAGACTAATTATTATAAATATTTATTGTTAGCTTTCTAATATTAATAAAGAGATTGTTTTGATGTGTTCTATTTTTAAACATGTACTCATTGTTTTTCTCATTGTTTTCATGGTACTTTTTTCATTATTAAACTTTTAAGTGTTCTGTTTCATGAAACACTGTAGAAAGTATAAAGATTCTCCTCATTCCCCATACTACTCTTTCTAATTCTCTCATGTAGCTATGGTTTATTTATTTATTTTTGCCAATCCTGGTCCTTGAACTGCCTGGGCTCTATCCCTGAGTCTCTATGCTCAAGGCTAGCATTCTACCACTTGAGTCACAGTGCCACTTCTGGCTTTTTCTGATTATGTGTTACTGAGGAATCAGACCCAGGATGCAAGCACAGTACCACTAAGCCACATTCCCAATCTCTCTATAGTTTATTTTAGACATCTCTTTCTAGAACCTTATCGTAGAAAGGCAAATGGTATCTACTTCTTATGGTTGAGAAGGAAGAGGTCTCATTGAACATTCTGAGCTGGCCCCAAACTTCAGTTTTTCACTCTTAGCTTCCCAATTAGCCAGGATTATAGGTGTGGGCTACCAGCACCTATAGTTTAGTAGTTAAGTAGTTAAGTTTATAGATATGAACCACTATACTTGGCCTCTTAGGGATCTCTTATGGCCTATGAAGCAAGTGGGTCCATTTATCTTCAGGTTTTCTTTATATACAGCCACAGTTTATTAAACATTGTAGCATTTTGGAAGCATTGGTAAGAGGAAATAAGTTTTTGAGCCAAGGGACAGTGTCATAACTATTTCTGTATTTCTGACACAATACCTAGCTTTTTTGGCCGGGGGGAGAAGGGGGGGAGGTCAGTCATGGGGCTTGAACTCTGGGCCTGGGCGCTGTCCCTCAGCTCTTCAGCTCAAGGGAAGCGCTCTACCACTTGAGCCACAGGCCCACTTCCAGTTTTCTGGTGGTTCATTGGAGATAAGAGTCTCATGGACTTTTCTGCCTGAGCTGGCTTTGAAGGATCTCAGCCTCTTGAGTAGCTAGGGTTACAGGTAAGAGCCACAGGCTGGCCCTGCAACTCCTGGGATCAAGTGTTCTTCCATCTCATCCATCCCAGTGGCTGGGACACCAGGTACAAACAACTGTGCTCAGCAGTGAATGTTCATTAAATGTTTGAATAGTAATGTTTTAAATAAACATACAGAGAGGAATTATACTTTATTATTTGATGCTGATCCAGGTTTTATATAGTTTTATGTATGTGGTTAACTGGAGAAGTAACACTTACCTAATATTGTTCTTGGGCTGGAATGTAGCTCAGTGGCAAAGCGCTTGCCTAGCAAGCACAACGTCCTGGGTTCGATCCCCAGTACCAAAAAAGAAAAGGCAAAAAAAAATACAGTTAAAAAAAACCTAATATTGTTCTTTATTATAGTTTATAAATACTCAAACATGTACTATCATTAGAAGCCATTTTCTATGTTGTAGCACTACTCAAACAGTTTATAGTAGTGTTGACTTAATTTCTTTCTCTCAAATTTTTTTTGTGCTGTTACTGGAGCTTGAACTCAGGGCCTCTCACACTCTTGCTCAGCTCTTTTCTCTCGTGGCTGTTACTGCACTACTTGAGCCAAACTTCATGTCCAGCTTAATTGCTGGTTAATTGGAGATAGAATCTGAGTACTTTTTTGCTCTGCCTGGCTTCAAACTGTGATCTTTAGATCTCAGCCTTCTAACTAGGATTATAGATGTGAGCCATATCTATAGGGCCTGGTTAATTTCTCTTTCATTCAGTTTCCAGGTATTAACATTCTTTGCTGTATTTCATTATTTATAAAGGTCCATTTAAAGCTTTCTTTCTAAAACCCATAACCTGACTTGCCAGTATTTTGTTACTAGTTTTGTAAACTTGTGTATTCTAAGAATGTTGATTTTATATATTTTTATATATTTTTATTTTTTCTCTTTTTTGGATGAGACAGTTATTGACTGTTTTTTCAAGTGATATAATTATTCATTATCGTATAAAATAAATCCAAATGACTTATTAGGAAAATATAAATTGTTAAAATTGATCACAGAAAAGAGAATGTAAATGAGCACTAACTGTGGGAGAAGAAATCAAACAAATATCATAAAAGCACGAAACCTAGACAATTTTAAAGGTGAATTATCTTAATTTTAAAGGATAAATTTGGTGTTACACTCTTCAAGGAAAATGGAATGGTATGAGAATGATGAAAAACAGTAATACCAAACCTTTCAAAGAAATACAAGGAAAATTGTGGACCAGTCTCGAATAGGCAGTAATCATAAAAAATAGTGCAAATGCAATCTAGCATCAAAAGGGTAATATACCATTGTTAAGTGTTTAAAAATTGATTAGTACATTGACAGGTGTAAATTTTGGGAAGAATGCATTAAAGCTAAAAATATTTGCCTGTGATATGACCAGGTATTTGAAAAACTTACATGCCAACTAAAAGTTGTTTAGAGATCAAAAAAGTTCTCTGAATGGCTGGGAAGGTGGCTCAGTGGTAGAGTGCTTGCCTTGCATGGATGAGGCCCTGGGTTTGATTCCTCAGCACCACATAAGCAGGAAAAGCCGGAAGTGGTGCTATAGCTCAAGTGGTAGAGTGCTAGCCTTGAGCTGAAGAGCTGAGGGCCAGAGTTCAGCCCCACAACTGACCAAAAAAAAAAAGAAAAGAAAAGAAAAGAAAAAAGTTCTCTGAAAGTAGGCATTTTCATAGTTAATGCTCTAAAACTGGTGATTTCTTGTGTTCAAACTATAAGCAGTTAGAAATATAATAGAAGGAGAGGTTACCTTTCAAATAGCAACTTAAAGTTTGCCCAGGAATTAACTTAAATAACCAGGGCCTACAAGAAGAAAAGTAAAATTCAAATCCAGGCACTGTGGCTCAAGCCTGTAATCCTAGCTACTTGGGAGGCAAAGATCAAGTGGCCAACTGGGCTAAAAGTTATCAAGATTCCACCCCAGTGGACAAGCTAGGCATGGTGGATCATGCTTGTAATCCCAGCTATATAGGAGGCAGAAGTAGAAGGATATTTACTGCTCTGAGCCTGGTTCAATTCATATAGACCTAAGTTCCATGAAATGAAGATAATTATACTTAACATAAGATTGTGAGAATTAAAATAAGCACATCAAATAGACCTGGCGTACAGTACTCAACATATGTTGGTTGTAATCATGTTTATATCACTATTACTGCAACTGCTGGTTAGACTAGAATGGGAAAGCTGTGAGTTTGTTTATTAAATGTAGTCCAGTTTATAATTCCTTCATAATTTAGGGAAGAAAATGAATTGGATGTGTGTTTCTTTTAGATAATAAATGTGAGAGTAGCAATAATGATGACTACATTTCCAAACAAGAAGATAGTACAAATGGGTAATATATTAAATGGACTTGAAAAACTGGCTAACTCTAATTAGGGGCAATAGAAAACTAAATAGCATTGCATTTTCTTCCCTTTTCTATTTTTGTAAACAAATTTTAAGTGATAAGTGAGACTGTTAAAGTACTAAAAGAAGTCCTAAGACCTGTGTATCATCTTGTACATGAAAAGTGATTTCTTAGACATGTATCAGAACCAGAGGAAAAATAAAGTTAAGGAATTTTAATATTATAATTTTTAAATTTCACATGGCAAGAAGTATTATTTCAATAAAATTAATTGACATAGTCTTGAAAAAGCATAATTACAAGTTTGTTTGTTTTTTTTGGGTCTGGTCGTGGGGCCTGAACTCTGGGCCTGGGTGTTGTCCCTCAGCTCTTCAGCTCAAGGCTTGCACTCTACCACTTGAGCTATAGCACCACTTCCGGCTATTTTTTTTTGCTTATGTGGTGCTGAGGAATCGAACCTAGGGCCTCAGGCATGCAAGGCAAGCGCTCTACCACTGAGCCACCTTCCCATCCCTAATTACAAGTTTTTAAGTTTGGAAAAATAACCCTGAAATCAGTGAAGAGATTAACAGTCAAATGTAAAGTTGGCAAAAATATAGGCAAGAGATCATGAAGTTTGAAGTGGCTTAGGCTATAGTGTAAGATCTTGTCTTCAAAAAAAAAAAAGTAAAACATGAGCATGCAGCATACTATGTGTGGAGGAAGGGGAGGATAAGCCACTAATAAAAATTAGAAAAGTGAGCCAGGTACCTGTGGCTCATGCCTGTAATTCTAGCTACTCAGGAGGCTGAGATCTGAGGATCTCCTGCCTGCCTGGGCAGGAAAGTCCATGAGACTCTTATCCCCAATAAATCACTAGAAAACCGGAAGTGGCTTAAGCGGTAGAGTGCTGGCCTTGAGCTGAAGAGCGCAGGGACAGCACCCAAGCTCAGAGTTCAAGCCCCACGACTGACCAAAAAAAAAATTAGAAAAGTAGACTGGGATGTAGCTCAGTGGCAAAGCACTTGCCTAGCAAGTGTAACGTCTTGGATTCAATCCAGCACCCTCTCCCCCCCCCCAAAAAAAAAAAAAGAAAAGAAAAGAAGGCAAAAAAATACAGTTAAAAAAATTAGAAAAGAGGCTGGGTATGGGAGGTTCACTCCCATCATCCTAGCTACTTTAAGAACTGTAAATAGATAGATCATGGTCCAGCCTACCTAAGTGTATATGCTAGGCCCTATTGCACAAATAACAAAGGGCAGAAGGGATGGGGGCATGGCTCAAAAGATGAGCGCACACACACACCCCCCACAGAGATGTTTAATTTCACTTAAGATAATTAAGATTAAAAACAAAAGATAGATAAACTACCAGGCTTGTTAAAAAAACAAACAAACAAAAAACAGAGTCTGCATGAGTGGCTCATGTCTGTAATCCTAGGTACTCTGGAGACTGAGGTCAGAGGATCAAGGTTCTAAGCCAGTCCAGGCAGAAAAAAAATCTGTGAAATTGTTATTGCCAATAAAGTAACA